GGTGGCACTTGGGAAAATACGTCTAAGGGGTGGGGGCAGAGTGAAACCGATAAACAGAAAAGGGCACTGCATAAGGAACTGGTAGACGGATTGTGATAGAGGATGAATTATGCACCTCTGATAGGCCCTGTCCCCACACGTCATGTGTGAAAGAGCCACCACAGATCAAACACCACAAATGGGGAGATTTCTGGCTGTTTCAGACACAATGCCGCGCAACGCAGGCAGGTCACACGCACACCACAGGGCAGCTCACAAGCGACTGTGCATGCGTGTAGGAGCAGAGGTGTGTGTCTTTATGAAATGCACGAGATCAACAAGCAGAATGCACGGCAGGCAGGCAGACAACAGGTACACCCGACAGAGGTCAAAAAGGATGTGCAGAGGGAGAAATGGGTGTGGACCGAGAGAGGCAATATTCTAGTCAGATGGTATACAGACAGAAGCAGAGGGGGAGAAACACAAGGTGGGGGGGGGAGAGACGGTGGCTCAAGGATGGGGACCGCAGAGAGGCAGACAAAAGGTTCAGGGTGGGCAGCAGTAGAAGAAAAGACCCTGAAATAAACAGATTGCCATGTAAGGAGATGGCCAGCCAAAGGGATGGGAGGAGAAAGAGATGGTGCGAGCAGGGGGCTGGCAGATGGAAGGTGGAGGGAGCTCTAGGGGGCTGGGAATGGGCGTAAGAATAGACAAAAACCCTGCGCGCCCCCCCTCCAAAACCCTCCTTCCCCCCACCTCTTCTCTGTCTATGGGAGGGAGGGAGGGAAGGAAGGATGGAGCCTTGGGGGGTCCCATTCGGGAGCCCAATATCGAGAGAGGGGCGCAATATTTAGGGGGGGGGGTTGTGTGCGTGATCGAGTGGAAGGAATCGGCGCGGACCCACCCATCGCGCACCCCTCTCCCCAATTCCCGCTGCCCCACGGCGCATCTCTTTCGCCGCCGTCCTGCAAGGTCTCGCCCATCTCCTTTTGGGGAACCAGCAGACCAGAGCCGAGGGGAAACCCACCCAAACCCACCCCCGACCATCACCCGATCGAGAAAGGCGGAGGCGGGAGAAGCAGCCACATACACACACAATACACCAAAACTGGAGCTGGGGTTTGAAATCCAGCTAAAGATATGCCTCCGCTTCCCACCCATCCACCCCACTTTTTCTGGAAATGCGCCACCGCGCGCCAACAGCTCTCCCACCCGCATAAATGGCACGGAGCAATAGCCCCCCACCCCAAACTGCCCCACCCACCCAGCAATGGAGAGCAGATCCCCGGTTCCCACCGCAGGAGGGGGGGTCCCTCGATTCCCCCCCCCCAGCCACTACCCGCCTTCTGCATGCAAGACCCCCGCAGCCCTTTCCTTCCTCTCCGGCGCCCCCCGCGCGCCCACTCACCCTGCGGGCTGGGAGGCTCCCCGGGCTGCGCCTTGCCGCGAGCCGGCCAGCCGGGGCCGACCAGCAGCGGCAGCAGGAGGGCGAAGCGCATCGCCAGGGCCGGCGCCCGCAGCATTGTGGCCGCCCCCACCGGCTCCCCGCTACCCGGCCATGGCGCGCCCGGAGGAGCCTGGGCGGCAAGTCGGGCGCACTGGGCTGTGCGGGATCCGGTTACGCGGCGGCGGCGGCGGCGGCGGCGATTGTGTCTCCTCGTCCCCGGCAGCCCCCTCCTGCCCGGCGGGGAGAAGCTGCGACGGCTCCACCTGCTGGAACAAGCCAGCACCGCCGCCGCCCCCTCGGTCTCCTCTTCTTCTTCCTCCGCCTCCTTCTTCTCGGGTGCTCCGCCTTTAGCTTACCTCACCTAGAAACTGTGTCCAATGCCAGGGAATAGTCCTGGGCAAGGGGGGGGGTGGTAAAAAAAGTTCAGGGGAAGGGAGGGGGTGCACTGTGCCTCTGAGCATGTGCAGAACGTGAAGATTGTTCCAAGTAAGCCTCGCCCTCTCCGCAGGGCTCAGAGGCGTCTATCTGTGGATTGGCTTTCCCCTCTTCCGTTTCCTCTCCAAGGCTATTTTCTGGGTGTTCAACGCGTCTTCAAATGTGGAGGGTTGGTGGGTAGCGGGACTTAGCAGCTTTCTAAGATTGATGCTTTTGAATTATGGTGCTGGAGGAGACTCTTGAGAGTCCCATGGACTGCAAGAAGATCAAACCTATCCATTCTGAAGGAAATCAGCCCTGAGTGCTCACTGGAAGGACAGATCCTGACGCTGAGGCTCCAATACTTTGGCCACCTCATGAGAAGAGAAGACTCTCTGGAAAAGATCCTGATGTTGGGAAAGATCGAGGGCACAAGGAGAAGGGGACGACAGAGGATGAGATGGTTGGACAGTGTTCTCAAAGCTACCAGCATGAGTTTGACCAAACTGCGGGAGGCAGTGGAGGACAGAAGTGCCTGGCGTGCTCTGGTCCACGGGGTCACGAAGAGTCGGACACGACTAAACAACTAAACAACAATAAGATGCCAATAAGGGACGCGGGTGGCACTGTGGTCTAAACCACAGAGCCTAGGACTTGCCGAACAGAAGGTCGGCAATTCAAATCCCCGCGACGGGGTGAGCTCCCATTGCTTGGTCCCTGCTCCTGCCAACCTAGCAGTTCGAAACCAGGAAGTGCAAGTAGATAAATAGGTACCACTCCGGCGGGAAGGTAAACGGCATTTCCGTGCGCTGCTCTGGTTCTCCAGAAGCGACTTAGTCATGCTGGCCACATGACCCGGAAGCTGTACGCCGGCTCCCTCAGCCAATAAAGTGAGATGAGCGCCACAACCCCAGAGTCGGCCACGACTGGACCTAATGGTCAGGGGTCCCTTTACCTTTAAGATGCCAATGTGTACATTATTATAGAATCGTAGAATTGGAAGGGACCCCAAAGGTCATCCAATCCAACCCCCTGCAATGCAGGAATCTCAGCTAAAGCATCCAAGGCAGATTTCCATCCAACCTCTGCTGAAAAACCTCCAAGGAAGGAGAGTCCACAGCCCCCCACCCCCTTTTCAGATACTGGGGCATGTGGAGCCAACGTATTGAACATGCATGGCGGGGTGGGGGGGATCTCAAAATTACAATTCTTTGATGGCTCAAAGCTGTCTCTGTGTTTTTATTTGTTTTATGAGCTGAAGTCATATCGTCTTGCTTTCATATGTCTTACTCAAATATTAACAAATCCCAGCACACCTGGTCTGCCTGCTACATGCATTAAATGGCAAGAAATGTTCTATATGCCTCCCCACCACACCTGAGAATGCCATCTCTCCCAGAATTAACAACAAGGACAACAACAGGTCAATGTTCATTTGCATCCTGCCCATTCAAACAAAGGCTCCAAGCTTTAATCAACTAATTGGCACAACAAATAAAGAAAGGCTTAATCCCAGATTAGCAGCTTCCCCCACTCCCAAAATATACAGGGGTTGTCAGGAAGTAACAAGCAGGAGACTCAGAAATCTTGAAGGGCCCAGACTGATTTGTCCTTCAGTTTACTGTACATCTGAAGCTAGCAGACAATTTGGCTTCTGCATTGAAACTATGGTGGGTTTCTTTTCTCTCTTCTAACAATAAAGAACAACAGGCAGGTGAAGTGATTGCCTTCATTGCTCATGCATCTGGTTTTAGCTGCTGCTTCATAATTTTTTTTAATTGTGTATGTATAAATGCAGTGTTTTTTTTATATATAGGCAGGTATGGTGCCAGTAATCACCATGAAGTTGTTTATGTTATGTACTGAAGTTCTCACCCTGGGCCAGCAGGGGGATACTGTAGATAGTTATGCAAATGAAGGATCGAAAGTGACGTTCAGTGATTGGATAGTTTAACAAAAATTGTTACAGTAACATGGTACTGGAGCTGTATATAAGCAGGCTGACTGAGCCCTTCAGTTCAGTTCTGTTTCAGCTTACAAATAAAGAGCTGCTTTGGAAGAATCGCTGTGTCATCTGATATGTTCACCCACAACTTAACAGTTTACACACACACACACACACACACTTGTTCACCGCTCTGGAATCTATTGGATGAAGGGTGGTATACAAGTGTTTGAAATAAATAAATGAATCCTTTAAACCTGGACCTGCACAATACTAATGGGTTTCCAATTATTGGTGAGGCAATTATAGCTCCCATGTTACAGTAACTGAAAGTATTTCCTGACACAAAGCTGGTGGAAAAACATGGTAAAAGTAAAACCCCAAGAATTAAATGGTATCTTTCGTTTATTAAACAGCAAAATGCATTTTACACTCAATGTATTATGTCCCATGCCTTCATTAGCCTCCGTATGAGCTCAGCAGATCCCAGGGTGTGGCGCTGCATGGAAGAATAGAATCACCAGCAGCCTTTACTGCCCCTCCAGCTCCCCAACTTTGGGAATCAGCCCAAAATGGCTCCCCTCTCCTGCTGAAGATTTGGACTTGTTTGAAGCCACAAAGCGGAGATGAAAGGCAGCATTGCTAGTGCAAGAGGGACAATTCCAAGATCATCTTTGCGTCTTGGAGGAAATGGTCACAACTGGGGAGCTGATCAGAAATGGGCACTGCTCCTTGATCGTATGGAGTCTACAGATCATCTCTAGGAGAGTTCACATGCCTGTTAAGATTCACTCCTAAAGAATACTGTAACTCTGAAGCGCCTCTTGTAGAATGACAAGGAAATGTGGCACATGATGAGTGGAATGGACAAGCCCAACTATAATTTAAGAGTACCAAATTTTGAACAGAGTATAGGCGACAATGGCATTCTTCTTCTGATTGCTTTCATGATGCATCGAGTATTTGGCATATTTTATGTATAAGAAGATCAAACCTCTCCATTCTTAAGGAAATCAGCCCTGAATGCTCACTGGAAGGCCAGATCGTGAAGCTGAGGCTCCAATACTTTGGCCACCTCATGAGAAGAGAAGACTCCCTGGAAAAGACCCTGATGTTGGGAAAGATGGAGGGCCCAAGGAGAAGGGGACGACAGGGGATGAGATGGTTGGACAGTGTTCTCGAAGCTACCAGCATGAGTTTGACCAAACTGCGGGAGGCAGCGGAAGACAGGAGTGCCTGGCGTGCTCTGGTCCATGGGGTCACGAAGAGTCGGACACAACTAAAAACGACTAAACAAATGTATATTAATGGAATTCATTCTGCACTTTTAAAAAGAGTGCTGGGGATTTTTCCTCCCTACTTGTTTCTCCAAGCCCTATTTTTTCCACTTAAGAATTAGTGAGCTTTTGCTTTGTTTTTAATTTAATGGATGGCCTGTGTCTTCCAGTCAGGACCTTGTTTTTAAGGGTGAAGGAACCACTCTTCTGTGGCGCTAACCATGAATGTGGATACTGCAAACTGCGGGCATCTATTTAGCAAGAGAATGGGATGCGTGCAGAAGTATAGCTGAGGAAGGGTATTAAATTGTGGAGCAAAGAAGAGGGGGGTGTCTCAGAAAAAGGGTCCAGCTGACATCTCCTTGGGAACAGGGAGGGATGGATCCAGGCAGAAATGAGATCACATTGGGGGGGGGGTGTTTGTGTGAGGATCACCCACTACTGCTCCTTCACAGATGTTTTTGCCCCAGGGTCATTGGGACAATTGTTCCTCTTCCTCTGTGGGTGGTCGCTTCCTCTTGAAAAAGCCCGTCTATTAAAAAAAAAGAAAAGAAATAGGCTTCTTTGAACTGGTGAAAGCCTTGATTGGGCTGCTGTTCTCAAAATAAACACATAAGGCACCCAGAAGCATGCTGCGGTTGGCTGATCTGATCAAAACAACAACAACAACTACAACTACTACTACTACTACTACTACTATTTGGGGACTTCCCTGGCTTTTTTCTGGCCCATGTAGGACCAGTCTGGATAGTTGGCCTTGATGAAGATTTGACGTTTTCATCCCCCAAAAGTTTTTGATTTGAGTTTCTACTGAAATGAGGCTGCATTTTAATGTTGTACAGTGGTACCTCGGGTTACATATGCTTCAGGTTACATAGGCTTCAGGTTACATATGCTTCAGGTTACAGACTCCGCTAACCCAGAAATAGTCCTTCAGGTTACAGAAATTGTGAACAGGAGAACAGGAGAACAGAAATTGTGCTTCGGCGGCGCGGCAGCAGCAGGAGGCCCCATTAGCTAAAGTGGTGCTTCAGGTTAAGAACAGTTTCAGGTTAAGTACGGACCTCCGGAACGAATTAAGTACTTAACCCGAGGTACCACTGCACTTTAATCTTGTTTTTAAGTTGTATTTTAATCAATTGTTTTTATACCTGGTGTTTGCCACCCTGAGCCCGGTCTTGGCTGGGGAGGGCGGGGTGTAAATATTATTATTATTATTATTATTATTATTATTAACTGTGATGGAAGTTTTAGTTGAGATTCCTGCATTGCAAGGGGTTGAACTAGACACTTGGAAGTCGCTTCCAGTTTATAATTCTATGATTCTACATACCACTGCCTCCCCAATGAGGCAGGTTAGTTACTGTGACATCGGACCTCCCATGAAGGCTAATTTTCTGCAGGGGATGGAGGTGCTCCTATTTTTGTCAAGCCCCAGCTAAAGCCAAAACCACTGGAATATTGGCACCCCATGTGGTTGGTCCACTTTGCCTCTAGGCCCAGAATTGCCCGCTCCGAGGTTTTGCTTACCTTCCAAAGAACGATAATGAAGATTGCAAGGAGGAAAAGTCCGACCAATATAGCTGCTATGATCCACCACACAGGAATATCCCTCTCAGCAGCCGGGTCCACCCACTCCACCAGTGTCTTAGTCTGGGTGGGGCAGGGGGGAGGGATAGGAAAGAGAAAGCCAATGTGAGCTGAACCCTCGTCTCCCTGATGCAATTGAAATAATGGAGGGGTTTTCATGCCCAAGCTCCTCTACCTTGGCGGCAGGTCCAGGTGATTCTTGTAGGGCTGTCAAATACCAGTTATTTAACTGCCATTCAGGCTTCGGCCTTAAAGTTTGGAACTGGATACTTTGCGAATTTAACTAGCAATCTGAGCCCATTTTGGATGCAGGCAAGATCCAGTGAAAACAAGGAAGATCTTTATTTTCTGTTGCAACCGAGTTCCCCTTCTCCTTGCAGAGGTCTGCAAGCCCCTTGGAAGACAATTGCCCAACCCCTTAACCCCAAAATGAATCATACATACAAGTCAAGATGGCTTCTGGATTGCTCTCCTGTACTATTTCAGGCATGTGATTTGTATACTTATACATATGTGTTTACCTTGTGCATTCATGAACATTTATTCTATATTTGAGGCCTAAGAATTCTTATTGCAGTCTCACCTCTGTTCCACCAAAAAAAACACCATCAGGCTCTAGCCCCTGACTTCACCAAATGACCAGGTATTTTCAGAAACCAAAATTGGGCAATCCCAGATAGTGGGCCCCATGGATCCACCTCACATGCAACCCACTTGGCTTTATGACTTGCTAAAACCCATACTATACCCTCATGTCCTTATACTTCAACTACCCCTAGGTAGGAGGGACAGACACAGTCTTCTGGTCCTTGTCCCTGGTGAATCATTGTCCCTATTTTTGCTTCCTGGGTACACCTTAGTTAAAACATCAACGAGGCCCTGTTCATCTCAATAAGCCGAAATATTCTTGAGCGGGTGGCGCTGTGGGTTAAACCACTGAGCCTCTTGGGCTTGCCAATCAAAAGGTTGGTGGTTCGAATCCCCGTGATGGGGTGAGCTCCCATTGCTCGGTCCCTGCTCCTGCCACCTAGCAGTTCAAAAGCACATCAAAGTGCAAGTAGATAAATAGGTACCACTACAGTGGGAAGGTAAACGGCGTTTCTGTGCACTGCTCTGGTTTGCCAGAAGCGGCTTAGTCATGCTGGCCACATGACCTGGAAGCTGTATGCCGGCTCCCTCGGCCAATAAAGCGAGATGAGCGCCCCAACCCCAGAGTCGGCCATGACTGGACCTAATGGTCAGGGGTCCCTTTACCTATTCTTGAGCCACAGAAAACCACAAAAGGGGAAAGTGCTCTTGTGCTCAGGTTTGCTTGAGCACAGGATGCCGGACTAGAGGGGCCATTGGCCCTGATCCAGCACACCAGATGTTCTTATGCAAAGCTGAGTTTCAGCAGCACTGATTCACTGACGTACCAGAGAGGATCCGCTTGGCAGAACATCCGGCTGAATGCGGTAGGGCATCCCTGAAGTGTTGAATCGGGCCTGAGACTGGATGAGGAGTTGCTCCTTCATGGGGTGCTGTGGTAGAAGAGACCATCATGCATTACCTGAGCCCTTATTATGGACCTGCCATCAGGGGTGAGCTTTGGTGACCTTTTAAATGCCCTGTGCGAGGCCAAAACACAGCGCCCCCAAATGGCGCTGGCTTCCGGGTTGGGTGGTGGTGGTGGTGTTTAGAGGTCTGCAACTCTTAGAAATAAGAACCTGGACTCAGACTATGCTTGCTAGATGAAGGGGTTTATTCTAGACGTCTTTCCTTGCTCAGCCATGACACCCAGGCCACATTTTATCCCCAAAAAAGTTTTTGATTTGAGTTTCCACTGAAAGGAGGCTGCATTTTAATGTTTTAATGTTGTATTTTAATCTTGTTTTTTAAGTTGTATTTCCATCAATTGTTGTATATCGGGTGCTTGCCGTCTTGAGCCCGGTCTTGGCTGGGGAGGATGGGGTATAAATAAAATTATTATTATTATTATTATTATTATTATTATTATTATTATTATTCACACGCTACATATAAACTGCTATGATACCACTTTAAACAACCACAGTTTCCCTTAGATAATCCTAGTTTGTTAAGGGTGCTTAGAGTTGCAAGGAGATCCCTATTTCCCTCACAAGGGTACAGTTCCCAGAGTGATTTAACAGTCAATTCCTCTCCATAGAGAACTCTGAAAATTATAGAACAGGGGGTGGGGGGCACAAACTACTGACACGCTGCATGTGGAGGAAAAACTTAAACACATTGCAGAGTTCCCAAAAATAGAAGAAGAAGAAGAAGAAGAAGAAGAAGAAGAAGAAGAAGAAGAAGAAGAGGAGGAGGAGGAGGAGGAGTTTGGATTTGATATCCTGCTTTATCACTACCTCGAAGGAGTCTCAAAGCGGCTAACATTCTCCTTTCCCTTCCTCCCCCACAACAAACACTCTGTGAGGTGAGTGGGGCTGAGAGACTTCAGAGAAGTGTGACTAGCCCAAGGTCACCCAGCAGCTGCATGTGGAGGAGCAGAGACGCGAACCCGGTTCCCCAGATTATGAGTCCTTTTAACCACTATACCACACTGGCTCTCAAAAAATAGGCCTCCCACACGGATCACGTTTGCAACCCGATCGTCCACTGTATATATATATACACACACATATATATACATATATATTAAAAACATCCCCTCAAAACAAATAGAATATTTCAAAGCAAAGTGTAAAATGAGAACAATTAAAATTTCCCAAAGGCACTAAAGTGCTTGCAATGTAGGAGCCAGGCAAGCCTCTCCAAAATCAAGGCAGTCTTGTTTTCTAGGAAGGGAACTCTCCGCCTCCCCATCCCTTGCACAGAAGCTCCTTCCTTACCTCCTGGAAAGTCTGCAGCCACAGCACTGCATGGATGGTCACCATGGCTCCTTGCCCTTTCTCCAGAGTCCCCACTTGGCAGCAGATGACGACACAGTCTTGGCTACTACAGTTCTGCAGGCAGGTTGGATCAAGAGAGTTGTGTTAATTTAAACTGCCTGATGGAGTTATTCAGCCTGCAGGATGTATAACTTGCGGATAAAACAGTGCAATCCTAACCTCCAGATACAAACTATGTGTATGTGTGTTTGTATGTATGTGTGTGAAGGTATGGCATTCCCTCTGTTTCCCATTTCTTCATTGTTCAGTCTTCTATGTTTTCACATCAGTTTTTGAATTGGTTTCAGTCTTAATGAAAATTCATTAGCTTTCAAAGCAAATTTCTGCTAATATACACATTTTTTGCAGGCACGTTGACCTAGTATACATCATCATCATCATCATCATCATCATCATCATCATTTGCAAATCAAGTTCCCCTAATATACTGGATGCTCGTATGTCATTTATATACGCATTTCTATGCACACTTTACCTCTGATGTTTGCATTTTGGTAAACTTTGCTCGGCTGGAGAACTGCACTGAAAAATCTGGGGAAGGGGGAATTCCAAAGGACGGTTGTGCTTCCGTTCATGCGTTGTCTTGGAAAGAGAAAATTAGGTAGGTTCGCCTTTAAAATGCGAACTGAATCATATTTTTGGCCCATTCCATGTCAAATGATATGCCTCTGCCAGGAGAAATTCAGGGCCATGGATATTGCTGGCAGACCTCCAGCAGAGGTGGTACATGCCAGAAACCACCCATTAAACTCAGTGGAGAGGAAGGGAGGGGGAGAAAACTGCCCACTCGGCCATGACAGATCATAGGATAATTCTGTACCAACTAACATAAACTATTAGCAATATAGACACCTCTGGCAGGGAGACCATATGTTGGATGCCACAGGGTGTGTAGCATGTGACTAAACTATTCTGGCATCACATTATGCACACTTAGGCTGCGTACACACCATACAGTTAAAGCGCATGATTTTCCCATAAGACTTCTGGGAACTGTACTTTAAGGTGCTAGTTTAAGGAGTAAACTACAGTTCCCAAGATTCTTGGGGGAACTCGTGAGTTTTAAATGTATGGTAATAAGTGCCCCAATGGCATAGTGGGACCATAGAATTGTTCAGCTCAAGTTGAAAGTGTAAATTTAGTAAAGTGGTGCCCCGCAAGACGAAAAACCCGCTAGACGAAAGGGTTTTCCATTTTTCGATGTGCTTCGCAAGACGATTTTCCCTATGGGCTTGCTTCACAAGACGGAAACGTCTTGCGAGTCTTGCGATTTTTTTCGCTTTCCCCCCCTTTTTCTAAGCCGCTAAGCCGCTAATAGCCTTTTAGCCGCTAAGCCGCTAAGCCTTTAATAGCCGCTAAGCCGCTAATAGCCTTTTTTTAAAAAAATAATATTTATTAAAGTTTCAAATGATACAAAAAACAAAAAGAACAAGAACAAGAAAAAAAGAAAAAGGAAAAAAGGAAAAAAATCATCCTTTACAATCCCAATTTCAAGAACTTCTTTCCGCAACTTCCCCTCACCTCCCCTTCTTGTATTCCATGTCCAAATATTTATCCAACAAGTTCTTATCCCTAAATTTTTAACCTTAATTTGTTATTATATTTAATTCAATTTATATATCAACTTTTAACTTATATACCTTAATAATTTATATTTAAAAACTTTTTCTAAGGTCGACCCAGTTTCCCTTCCACGAATTCCCCATTGTTATACTAATAACAACACATCATTTAAAAAAAAAATAGAAAAAATCAAACACCCTTTGGATTTCCAAATCCCACCCTCCCTTCCCCGGTTTCGATCCCAAAACCATTGTCCATTAGTCCATCTACTATCAGCCTGGCAGCCTCACGTCCGAGGCCCTTAAGTCTCTCTCAATCCCTCTCTGCCGGTTTCTTTGAAAGTCCTTTATATTTAACACCAAGTCTCGGAGGGGCACTATCCCTATAATGTCCATATTCCTTCCAGCCAGACCTCCATGTTTAAAAGTGGAGCTCAAATCTTGTTTCTTAGTCCTTTTAAGTCCAAATGTCCCAAGAGCTCCAGCTTCCACCTTGATCAAATTTATAATCCATAGATCTTCAGATCCCCACAAAAGGAGATCTTTCCATTCCTCATTTCTAGGTTCAAACCAAATTTTCCTCATCCAGTCCTTATTTTCTTTTATATCCATCTTGACAGGCCTCCGGCTCCCATTTGCCTTCTGCAGCATTGCAGCCCCTCCTTTCTGCTCCTCCTGTTCAGCGTGTATCTCTTCCTCCACTTCCTCAGTTTTCTCTAGTTTCTTTTCTTGTTCAGCTGCCTGGGTTTTGTACATCAAGTCCTTTTCCAACTCAGTAGATACGTTTGCTGTTGACTTCAAAGTTATGGCACTTGTAGACAAAACATGACCTTGCTCATACATCCTTCGCAACTTTCCCATGAGAAAAGCAACCTCGTCCAGGTCAGCAAGTATTTTCCGACCTATTTCCATTCTTGTAATGTCCCTGAACCCCCTCTAGAGGGATTCTGGTTATTTAGTATTCCTTTCACTTCCAACCCAAAAGTCAAGTTAATTTGTTTCAGTCCTTCTTTATTTTCAACAACTTGTAGCTATATTGTATCTAATGTAACCGGCAAAAACATCAGAAATAAAATTTTCTATTTTTTCCGACTTTGACAGCTAATTTGACAGCTGTCAAAATCTTCTGTGTCTCCTCAGCAGGCTCCGCTCGCGGATCACTCCCGGTCCCGGGAGGGGTGGCACTTTAATCAGAAAGTTAGCTCTTATCCTCCAGCACAATTACTTATACTTTCAATCCGTGCAATTAATAACTTTTATCCAGAAAAAAGGCTCTTCTCTCGACCTTAGTTGTCAAATCCTTGCTTTAAAATGTTTACAATGGGGGGGAGACGGACTTCCTCTTTGCACCTCCCCCGTTCGTACCGAATCCAAAGAAAAATTTTTAGTCCAATTTCCAAATTACTCACGGGTTGTTGTTTTGTAGTTTTTAGTCTAAATTTTCAGAAGAAGAAGTCAGCGCTCTCCGACGAATGGCATGCGGCTTCGCTCGGCAGGGGAAGCAGTAGACTCACAGCACCGCGCCGCTCCCCGTCCCCCGCTCCGTAGCCTTTAAAAAGGCTACTTCGCGGGTCGGGAGGGCGCAAACAGTGCCCGCCGAGTCACCAGGTCCACGGGCATCCGCGCCCGTGGTTTTTGAGGGTCCCTGCGTCGCCAGCGCGGTAGAACCCGACCCCTGTCAAGCAGATTCCCTCCGGAGCTTGGAGGGAATCCGCCTTTCGGCAGTGGCGCCAACCCGGAAGTCCTCGCTAATAGCCTTTTAGCCACTAAGCCGCTAAGCCTTTAATAGCCGCTAATCCGCTAATAGCCTTTTAGCCGCTAAGCCTTTAATAGCCGCTAAGCCGCTAATAGCGCTAAGCCGCTAATAGGGTTGCTTCGCAAGACGAAAAAACCGCTAGACGAAGAGACTCGCGGAACGGATTATTTTCGTCTTGCGAGGCACCACTGTAACTATGACATTTAAGTATTGAAATTTTAAAACAATCAAGTTCCTAGATCTCTTGAGTGCAGAGGTGGTTTTCAGCTAGCTGTTTCAATCACACTATGCTGAACTGCTACCATATGAGGGCTTCTACATGAGCAGAATGCTTGCCTCATTCATTTTCAAAACAATTTTGCACAATAAGTCGCTCATCCCAAGTTTACAGATCGGAAAACTGAGGATTAGCCCGAGTGATGAGCAGCAGGGATATATGAACCCAGATCCAGTGACAACCGCTTTAAATGACACTATGAAGTCCATCCCATTTCCCAAGAAGTCTCACCACCACAATGGGTTCCTGCAGCGCTGCTGAGTTCACATCCCGCCTCTCACGCAAGCGCCGTGGTTGGGCAGTCATATTGTAGCTGGGAGCAGTTGTGGGCTCCTGGACTTTCAGCTACAAGGAAAGAAATAGCATTCAGGTGAACAGCAGGCAGCCATATTGAAGGGACGTTTTTAATGTGTGACATTTTAATGTATTTTTAATCTTTGTTGGAAGCCGCCCAGAGTGGCTGGGGAAACCCAGCCAGATGGGTGGGTACAAATAATACAGTGGTACCTTGGGTTACATACGCTTCAGGTTACAGACTCCGCTAACCCAGAAATAGTGCTTTAGGTTAAGAACTTTGCTTCAGGATGAGAACAGAAATCGCGCGGCAGCAGCAGGAGGCCCCATTAGCTAAAGTGGTGCTTCAGGTTAAGAACAGTTTCAGGTTAAGAACGGACCTCTGGAATGAATTAAGTACTTAACCCGAGGTACCACTGTAAATTATTATATTATTATTATTATTATTATTAAGGCAGAAGCAGACCAGGAAAAAAGGCAGCTGATAAGATCAAGGGGATGGGGCAACTCTCCTAGGAGGAAAGGTTGCAGTGTTTGGGACTTTAAATTAAAAAAAGGCGAAGATTTAATAGAGGTGTTCTCAGGCCCTCCATACAGTGGTGCCCCGCAAGACGAATGCCTCGCAAGACGAAAAACTCGCTAGACGAAAGGGTTTTCCGTTTTTTGAGTCGTTCCGCAAGACGAATTTCCCTATGGGCTTGCGAGTTCTTGCGAGTTTGTTTCCTTTTTCTTTAAGCCGCTAATAGCCGTGCTTCGCAAGACGAAAAAACCGCAAGACGAAGAGACTCGCGGAACGGATTAATTTCGTCTTGCGAGGCACCACTGTACTTTGCTCTCCCCTTCCCAGAGGTTGCTCCTACCTTCAGAGGGTTGGTGTCGTTTGTGGGTGAACAGACGATGTTGCCTTCCGTGCTCACCCTTGCGATGTAAAGCAGGAAGCCTTCCCGGAAGTGGCTGGGGAAATCCACAAGAAGCTCGGCCCCAGATACAGTGCTAGGGCCAGCATTCTGCAACTTAGAGAAGGACAAGGAAGGAAGAGGGGTCAGCAATGAGGAAGATGTTGTCGGTTTGCATTTTTAGTACAGAAAGTATTGATCTGATGTGTAGAGATCTTTCCTTTTCTAATTAATTCAAGAGGGTTCTAGAAGCTTCTCTGTGTGAAAGAAGCAAACAGAAGGTTTGTGATGTTTGGGTTATTCCTTCAGAGAAGCTGACTGCAGCTGGCTTAAACTGGTTCTGTTATCTCTTTCTGTCAATGTCATGCTGACTACAGAAACAGGCCAGAAGGAGCCTGGGTTTCACTTTCTCTTTCTATCTCTCTCCTTTCCGGTGTGGTGTTCTGTACATAGTATGCTTAGTGTTAAGGTTTAGACTTATAAGTTATTGTAAGTTTAAGTTAAGTCTGCTGCAACTGGATTTCTTATGGACAGTGCCAATCCTGAATGTATTCGATTTGTGACCATTATGCTCATTTGCCTTCAGTAGCAGTAAAGCTCTGCTGGATGAAATATTAATCGCCTCTGGACTATTTTGGGGGGAATTCTGCAACGTGTTTAAGTTTTTACTCTGCTAACTATATGCTGGAATCTGCTCTGGATCAATATTGAGTAGAATTCCACGACAGACGTATTCACAGTGGCATCCCTTCCAACTGCCCCCCCCCCAAATACCAGGATCGCCACAAAAACCCTGAAGCCATCACAGCCTCTCACTTTTTCACACAGAGTTCTGAATTCCGAAGGGGTCTTTTCCCTTCAGTACCGCATTTCAGCGTGTTATCGGAAGTTCAGATCCGTGCATCCCTCTAACACATTTATTAGATCTATGCCTCCCGCCTGCTCCCTTCCTCCCCATTCAATATGGCGTCACTTCCTGTTTTCATGAAAACAAGATCCAATTCACTTGAATGCCCCATAGAAAGTTTTTCACTGTTTCCCCACTCCCCAGTCTGTCAGTCTCCCCTAAAGAAAGTGGGGCATGGGGGTGTGGCCTGTCCGCAAGGCCGCACCAGGGAATTGTGAGTGTTGACATTTCCATTCCACCTTAGGAACAGGCATGGGATTGTTACGTGTCACATGTCTGTTTACATTCCAGCACAGCTTGTTGGGAACTTCCATTGTGTATAGCTTTTGCTTTTTGCTGTTTTCTCTGAGACAACATGAGAGAGAGAGACATGTTTCTTTGTCCTGATTTATGCTTAATAAATCTGTAGTTGTAGTATGCTTCCACAAGCCTCACGCCTATTCTGTGTGCGGAGTTCGATCTGCTGATAGTGTGCCCTGGCTGTGAAGCCCGGGTCGCTGATTTACATCGGAGCAGAGATGATGGCCTTCGCAGCGGGACGGCTGGAAGGGAAGGGCCCAGCAGGGGCTAGCCAGCTGACCTCCTGGCCCTCCGTGAGTGCCAAAGAGCAGCCATGACAGTCACTCGATTCTGGCTTGCTTTGTTCAGCCACAACATCTGCATCTCTGCCCCAGTTGCTAAGGGGAGGTGTTCGGGGGACACACTGATGAAGAATATGTCCCTATTTTCATCTGAGGAATATTGGAGGGAATGCAGTGGGTTGGAGTGTTGCCTCTACACCCCTGTGCATCGAGTTCCAACCTGTGTTTCTTTGTACCTGGTAAACATGTTCAACTCTTGGTCCGTAGTCATTTACGTCCTTGCTTGTGTTCTTATAGTCGCCAAAGGCCAGTGGGACCACAACGACATCTGGGGCAGACCTCCTGGGGAGGAGAGCATGGAGAGAGCAAGGATGAAAGTGACCCCCCCCGTCATGGGACACATACACGCTTCCTCCTGAAGCAAAATGCCCTTCCCCACTGATATTCCCAGCAGCTCCACTCCAGCAACACCTCCTGCCCACAAGGCCAAAGCAGCCAGATCAACCTTGTAGGATCAGCAGAATCAGGTGGGAAAGCTTTCCCCCCACTGTTATCACATCAGGATGGGTTTGTATTTCTGTAGTAGCTGGTGGACACTGGGTGGAAGACAAGGAGCCCAACAGCAGGTGGCGCCAGAGCCAACAACAGGCAGAGCCAATTCCTTCAAGTTTTGTCTCTGGCCTTCTTCCTGTTGAGTTCTACAAGGGCAACACTGAGGGTTCGTCCACATTTGTCCTGCGCATAGAAAGCACAAATCCAAGAGGTTTCCTGCATGCCCTATGTTTTCTATGCACAGATCTGAGTGGTTTTCTGTTTGCCCTGCCACTTTCCCCAGGAAAACCCACTCTTTGACGCTGAATTGGAGCAAATGTCAATCCGCAGAAAACCCAACAGATGTTTGCTCCGATTCAGCAGCAAAGAGCGGGTTTTCCTGATGGAAAGCGGTGGGAAAAGCAGAAGTGCGGATGAGCCCTGAGACTAAGGAAGAGAAAGTTGATATCACTGGTCTGGTTGTAAATATGAAGGCAGTCAAGTGGGGGCTGGCTGGGGGAGGAATGAGGTTGGTGGGGCAATGCCCCATTTATCCTCATAGGTCAGTCTCCACTGGTTTACATATATATGCATCTCTCTGTGTGTGTACACATACACACACATATTGTTATGAGTTTGTGGAGTGCACAGACCCCCCCTTCTAATTCCTGGGTGCCAGACACTGGATTTAGCATGTTAAAATGCAAGCCAGGAGCCAGCCTGGTATTGGAGAGGCTTTTTGCCAGAGGACAAATGCACCCTCAACTCAGAATTAGTTAGAAAGACTAGAAGTAGAGTTTTAGAGCTGGAAGGAGTTGTTTTTAGAATTTCAGTTGCTTAGGATATGAGCTGAAAGATAAAATAGTTGCAGTCTGTAAAACGCGGCAAGCTCAGCAGAGAGACAGATGGCCATGTTTGATTTCTTTTTGGATCCAGGATTGCAGCAATGGGAGAAATGCTGTGAACCCCTCCATCGTAGGCTCAGGTTGAATATATGTGTAAATAAACAATCTATCATAAAGACACCACAGGCTCTACTGTGCTTCATTTTCAAAAAGGAAACACAGGCCCTGTGTAATCGCCTGGAACCCCCAGAATCTCACACCACTCAGAGACTGGGGTGTCTTTTATGATATGTGGTCTATTTACACAGCTATACGAGCGTGCAACAATATATAAACATATACACATATACGTTAATACTAATACAGACAGAAATCCATCTATCTGCAAATCTCCCCTCCGCCATGTTCTCACCCCAGCAGTTCCATTCTTGCAGCAACCTTGACCGGCACCTGCAATTGTTCCACGGCGCTATTGGGGTTGTTGCTGTTCTTGCTGCAGGAGAAGGTGGGAGTTATTGAGTGAGTGCCACAAGAGTGTTTTCTCAAAGCCTGGAGTCCAGGCTTTGGACATGAAAAGTCTTGATGTGGAAGAGGAACAGAGATGCAGCGATTTGGGAAAGCTGCCTGTAGTTTTCTGCCTTGCAGCAGTTTAAAGTGTTGGTGCTGACCCTTAAAACCCTAAAAGGCCTTGACCTTGTATACCTGAAGGAGTGTCTCCACCCCCATCGTTCAGCCCGGACACTGAGGTCCAGCTCCAAGGGCCTTCTAGTGGTTCCCTCACTGCGAGAAGTGAGGTTGCAGGGAACCAGGCAGAGGGCCTTCTCAATAGTGGCGCCCGCCCTGTGGAAAACCTTCTCATCAGATGTCAAGGAAATAAACAACTATCTGACTTTTAGAAGACATCTGAAGGCAGCCCTGTATAAGAGAATTTTTTAATGTTTGATGTTTTATTGTGTTTTGGATATTTTGTTGGGAGCCGCCCATAGTGGCTGGGGAAACCACGTCAGATGGGTGGCTAACAACAACAACAACAACAACAACAACAACAACAACAAACAACAACAACAACAACAACAATTTTATTTGTATGCCTCCCATCTGAATGGGTTGCCCCAGCCATGCTGGGCAACTTCCAGCAGAATAGTAAAAACACAATATAACATCAAAAATTTAAAACTTCCCTAAACAGGGCTGCCTTCAGACGTCTTCTAAAAGTCAGCTACAGTGGTACCTCAGGTTACATACGCTTCAGATTACAGACTCCGCTAACCCAGAAACAGTACCTCAGGATAAGAACTTTGCTTCAGGATGAAAACAGAAATTGTGCTCCGGCAGCGCGGCAGCAGCAGGGGGTCCCATTAGCTAAAGTGGTGCTTCAGGTTAAGAACAGTTTCAGGTTAAGAACGGACTTCCGGAACGAATTAAGTACTTAACCTGAGGTACCACTGTAGTTGTTTATTTCCTTGACATCTGACTTGGGGAAAAGTTGGCAACTTCATATATACAAGACAGCTCCCCTTATATACCCTGCCAGATGGGTGGGGTATAAATAAATTATTATTATTATTATTATTATTATTATTATTATTATTATTACTACTATTATATCTTTTTGGGGGTGGGGAGAGAATAACTAAACAGGGAAGGTACCTGCTTATTTATTTCACCTGCTATTTATTTAAAAAGTTTCTCAATTGGTTTGGTTTTCAAAAGAACCCCAAAACAATATACAGTACTGGAAGGTTGCTGGCTGTGCCACAGATGGGGCTGTGAGTTTCCTGGTATGAGGACTTGGCTTCAGGGGTCCAGGAGAGTGGGGCAGCGTTGACTGTTACCTTCTTAGCTGCAGCATCAAAGTTATGTTATCACTGGCCTCTTCCAGCTGGCTGACACTTAGCTCCACATCTACCTGGATCTGTAAAAAAAGGTGACAGACAGGGGGAGAGGTTGGATAATTGTTGCTTCCAATAAAACGGTAAGCCTGAGTTTGGCACTGCCCTGGTTAAGAAATCAGCCACATACCGTGGTGTTGGATTTCATGGGGTTGCCAATTTCACAGGCCACCAAGCGGGTCTCGTTCTCCTTACGGGTGTTGCAAATCAACTTCTGCAGAGAAAGAGAGAGGGAGAGAGAGCACAGGTGACTTCACTGTCAGCCAGGTGACAGGTGAATGAGCAATATGAAAGGCTGGCAATGACCTGGAGAGCGTCCCTATTGTTGCAAATAAAATAATTATGCCTGGGCCACCAATCGGTATATTTAAGACCACAGCCAAGCTACAGAACAAGGGTATTGGAGCCTTTTCTAACCCGCTCAGTCAAAATTTTGAGTTCTGAAAGGGCTGTACCATTCTGCAGAGGACCACTTTGTCCTTTCGGACCTCTTTCCTCCTTCTTTGGAAGTTAAAAGAGATAAGCTTTGTCAAGCAGGAAGCTGCCAGGCAGCCTAGAATCCTCAGAATTTGCAGAAATAGAGGAAATATGAAATACCTTAATAATATCTTAAGGATGCTTCTGTGAAGAGGGTGACTAAGAAGATGAAAATATGTACACTGTATTTTGTGGCTTGGATCAATAAAAGGACTATTGGCAAAACCTATTGGTGTTTCGCAACTTTCCGACTAGTTGCAGGACCTTAGCCAGACCTAGCAGAGTACACGCAGAATCCACATAAGCAATTGGTGACTTGGCTGCAGACAGGACAGACGAAGCAGGAACCAGGAACTTGTAGTTAGGTGTTTATTATATACAGTGGACTATTTACAGGAACAGAACACAGATCTTTAGCTAGCGCTCTCTGACACGACTCACATCTCCTACACTGACACACCGAACTCTGAACCTTTGAACTCTGAACTAACACATTCCAGTTAGTAGGCCATTAATTATCACTCCCTTGAGAGAGCTTGACCAATCAGGGAGTTGTCTCCATGTCTCTGTTATCACCAGGCAGACTTACTCCTTCAGATTGCCTTCTGGCTGTCTGCCAAACCTTAATTGACTCTGTGTGAGTAGCTGCACGTACACAGATTCCCAACAACTATAACTCAGCAGCGTGGACCAGCTACGAGTGAAAGGTCTTACCTGCCCGTCGCTGTTAGCTGTCTGGAAGTAAGTTCCGTGTGGCAGCTCCACCACCAGTTCTGCCTCATAGGCTCCTTCACCAGAATTCATCGCCGTGGTCTGGAGGAGAAGCACATTCTCTGCCCCAATTAGCAGGGAGCCTTCGTTCCTGAGACACAACCGCATAGCAGGGGTGGGATGCAGGGAGAGAGACAGAGTTATAAGAAATGCCTTTTGCTGTGCATTAGGAAATCACTGTATGAGGAAGAAGGAGCTGCAAGATTCAGGTTATATTTTATTGTCTCAGCTGAGCAATCGTGACAGTTCACCCCGGGTGCCTCCAGGCTGTCACTATCTTGCAGGAGGGATCTTTAGGTTTGCAAAGTTAAAGCAGATTAAACGCTCTCTTGGCCTGGTGCAGCAAATCCACTAGAAACAGACACAGAGAGAGGCTTTCTGCAGTTAGGAAAGTGATGGGGAAATTGTCTGAGAAGTGTGGGATGATGAGCGAACGATGAGTAGGAAGATGTGCAAACCGCCACACAAGCAAATCAGGGTGAAGCAAATCATTGTCATATAACTGTCCTGCAGACAAATGAAATTGACTGCTCGCTGGACACAGTCTAACCATTGCATATGCTTTGTGTAAGAGGAGTATGATGAATGCTAAATAAGCAGGAGGTTTGAAGGAGCCCAAAATGAAACACAGTGAATGTAGCAGTAGTTTGTATCACACCATATAAATCTGCCCAGCCCTTCAGATCAGTATCAGAACTCCTATTCTTCCATTTCCCATTAAGGTCAACTAGAGTGGTGGGCACAAGAGACAGGGCCTTCTCAGTGGTGGCCCCATAACTGTAGATCTCTCTTCCAAGGGACATACATTTGGTCCCGTCAGTTCTGTCTTTTAAATGGGCCTTTAAAATAAAACCATGTGCACCATCTTGAGATCCTTGGAAGATAAAGGTAGTATATAAATGTAATAAATAAAATAAATAAAATAATGTCCAGAGCATTTTGCCTTCCCACTGCCCTGGGCCACTACAGCCTCTCACATACCACACTTCTATAATTAAAAGGACTGGGATTCCAGATTCAAGGGAGATCTGAACCCTGAACTTTCTCATTTTGGACGACAGCCCCAGGTTAGATCACCAGGACTAGCACTCTTGAGACTCAAGAAGAGACAGCTGTTGGTGCTTACGTGTGAGCGGAGAGTCGGAGGTCTGGGATGCAGATGTTGTCTTCTCCACAATCCACAATGATACGGGTCTGTGGGATGTAACAAACAGGCAGAGCTTTGACTGAGTGATGAACAATCCCAACCTGGAGCCTCAGCACTTTTCCTGCTCTTTACCGCTAAATCAGAACAAACAGCAGTCCACAGAAAATCTGAAACGTGGTTTGTTCCAATTCAGCATTAAAGAGTGGGTTTTACTGGGGAAAACGGGGCTCAGATACAGAGCCTTAAAGCGCCTAGAAAACATGGGGCAGGAAGGAAGTGTGGAAGAGCCCTGATGTGGGTTGGGAGTGATGTGTTCAAGCTCAACATAAAAGATTGCAGAAGGATCCCATTGCCCTGTAGCGCAGATGGGAAATCAACATGGTTATCTGTCATTCAGATACAGTGGTACCTTGGGTTACATACGCTTCAGGTTACATACACTTCAGGTTACAGACTCCGCTAACCCAGAAATGGTGCTTCAGGTTAAGAACTTTGCTTCAGGATGAGAACAGAAATCGTGCAGCAGTGGCGCAGCGGCAGCAGGAGGCCACATTAGCTAAAGTGGTGTTTCAGGTTAAGAACAGTTTCAGGTTAAGTACAGACCTCCGGAACAAATTAAGTACTTAACCCGAGGTACCACTGTAAACAATTTGATCTCTCTATAATTGTCTAACAGCATTAACCATTGAGAGTGCTTAGGGGGGATAGAATCCAGAAAATATAAATGTCAGTGCTTATATCCACCCCCCACCCCTCCTGGTTCTGGCTATCATGCTTTCAAAGCTCGAACTCAAGTCTTCAGCATTGTGAGGGAGAGGACTCCCTGAGCATGCGCAAAGGGCAATTCCTTACAATTTCATACACACAACCAGGCTCATATTCCTGGGATCAGGAAGCTTGTTTTCTGGCTCAGAGGATGTGATTCAAATTTAAGCATCTTAGCACTTGACTAAGTGACAATTTTGTTTATGTATTTGGGGCAGCTGCGAATTGCAGAGGGTTGGACTAGATGATCCTCAGGGTCCCTTCCATCGCTGCAATTCTGCAATTCTGTTTGCTAGCTTATTTCAGCTTCAATAGGCTCCCAGGGGTGGCTTAAAATTACAAAAAAAAAGCAAAGGAAGGAAATCAAAATACCAGAACACAAAAGAAATACAGAAGCAGTCAGCGGCTTTCAAACAGTGGAATCAAAGTCATACAATGCCAAAGCTTTGAGGCTGGTGAGGCATCTCACCTGATCCTGGACCATTGTTTGGCCAGACAGCACAGGCTTCATCTCCCCGTCTGCAGATGCCGATGCCAAACTGAAGTTGAAACTCACGACAATGGGACTCAGTTTGTCCTTGAAATCGCCCTCCTCCTGTGGGAGGCAGAGAAGTGGCTCAGAGATTCCCCCTAAGGCTAGCTCATCTTTTCACTTCAATTGTTCAAAGCGCAACAGCTCGGCATTAGATAAAGGTAAGACTCCTCTCCTGGTATGCCCCACAGAGAAACTTACGGTCCTCAAATAAAAACATCTCGAAGGTCCCAGGCCACAGAGAAGTTAGGCTGGCCTCAACTAGAGCCAGGGCTTTTTCATCTGTGGCTCCGATCTGGTGGAACGCTCTGTCACAAGAGACCAGGGCCCTGCGGGACTTGACAGCTTTCCGCAGGGCCTGCAAGACAGAGCTGTCCACCAGGCCTTTGGCCAGGGCACAGCCTGACTCCCTCCCTCGGCAATCTTCGCGGAGCTCTGGCCCAATGGTTGCCAGTGGCTTGATTTGAATTAATTTTATAATGAATGATTTTAGAGTGTTGTTTGTGCTGTACTTTTGTACTGTTTTATTGTTGTTAGCCGCCCTGAGCCCGGCTTCGGCTGGGGAGGGCGGGAAATAGATAAAATTTATTATTATTATTTATTATCATTAACAGGGATAAAATCTCCGCAGTTTGCCCAGATGCAGAAACGGAGCTCGCTGGAACTACTGCGTGTCACGCCGCACGACTATCGAAACGGCAAGGCACCTGCCAGAATTAAAAGGTGGAAACGCCAGTGGCCACACCTGGAACATAGCTGTCAACCGTCCCTTATTTGGCGGGAAACTCCCTTATCCCAGCGCCGTGTCCCGCTGCTGTCCCTTATTGATGATGTCCCTTAAATTTCCCGGGTTTCATGCTTGCCCAGCTTGGAAGGGAAGCAGTGGCTCAGGGTCCTCCGCCGAGAGAGAGAGCATGCGCACGAGCTGCCGCGTCTCCGTCTCTCCTTTTTCCCTCTCAGGGGCGTGTCGTGAGGAGACGGGTGGCAGCGGGCGGGCAGGCAGCCCCTCTCTTGCGAGACTTCTGCCGCGCTGCCAGGGGAAGCCGGAGGTGGCAGCAGCAGTGGTGGCTGAGGAGGCGGCCTGAGGGAGGAGGAAGAGGAGGAGATGGGGAGGGACGCAGAAGGGCGGTGCTTCAGCGGCGGCGGCGCTGCCGCAACCATCTCATGCCGGGCTTGCAGGTGGCATGGGCGAGAGTCTCTCTCCCTCCCCCTCTCTCGGGTGGGGAAGGGCCAATGGAACTCCTCGCACCAGGACGACGGCAGCCCCGACGTGCTGCTTAGCATCCCCTCCAACCAGTGCAGCATCTTAATGTAGTGATGTCCCCCTCTGCATCCCTTTCATAACTCTTTCATAACTGCAAAAGCAGCATGGCTCCATCAGTACTGGATTTATGAATAAGCCAAGCAAAATCCCTTATTTTGGCTGCTGATCCCTTATTTTCGAGGCTGCTGGTCCCTTATTTTCAAATCTGTAAGTTGACAGCTATGACCTGGAATGCCATCCCTACCTGGGGCCTGCAACATGGTTTGAATATGCAGACATACACTCGACGATAGCATGCATGATGCCCTCTTTGTGGGTGTGTTGGAAGAAAACACACTTGGGATTTTTATTTTAAAAATTGGATGTTTTAAAAATTTCTCTCCAACGCTCACCTAGAAGTTGCGGGGCTGGTTCCTGCAACATCTGAAGTAGCAAAAAACTAACATAAAACAGCCACCTCTCTCACGCTTTGTGTGTGCGGTGCCAAGATGTCTTTCGAACGGCAGTTTCACAAGTGCCTGGTTTTCTTTTAGCTGAGGACACACTGTGAATTCTACCTTTAGATAACAAACAACTGACTCAAGGCGGCCGGTCTCAACTGCTTTGAAAGGGCAGCAAATGGCTAGTTGTTTGATTTATTAGGGTTGCATTTTTCCTGCCAGGAAGAGGCAAAATTACTTGGGCAGCCTTAAGGCCCTTTCAGGCTTACCCAGAAAATACAGATTTTCAGAGTTTGGTTGTAATCTGTGGGTTTTGTTTGACTTCAGCAGGGTAGCACACATTTGCAGCAAAGCACCCTGAGCTGGCCCTGGTCTTTGCAATTTACACCACGGAGGCAAATACATTCACATTATACCTTTAAAGCAGTCTTTGAAACTTATTTCCCACCGCAAAGAATTCTGGGCACCACAGTTTGCCTCTCAGGTAGTTATAATCCCAGCAACCCTTAACAAACCACAGTTCCCAGAATTCTTTGAGGTAGGGTGGATGTGCTTTGAATGTATAGCGTGCAGCCTCCTTCGATAGGCACCACAGCCACTTACCCTACGTCATATCCCAGGAAAGCAATTGCTTGGACCCCAGCAACTCACCCAGATGGCTGCCAGCCCAGCTGAAGCCACTGCTCTCTACCCTCTGACTGGCTGTCTCAATTTCAAACTGCAGAACTACGTCATATTCTTACACGCCACCATGCAAGGGTATTGCCCATCTGAAGGCAGCCCTGTTTAGGGAAGTTTTTAATATTTAATGCTGTACTGTTTTTAACACTCGATTGGGAGCTGCCCAGAGTGGCTGGGGAAACTCAGCCAGATGGGCAGGGTATAAATAAGAAATAATAATAATAATAATAATAATAATAATAATAATAATAATAATTATTATTATTATTATTAATCTCACCTAATGCATCCTACTGGTGAACAGCCTATTAGAAAGCTGCCAGTTTGACAAAGGATGCTTATCCAGCATCAGCACCAGGAACAATGACCTCACTCACACACATTCCATCTCCCAAGTTCCTCCCCTTTTCCCCAGGCATCACTGTAACAGGTGCAAGCATGGAGCTCCAATGATGGGGAGAGATGCTGGGGTTTCTGAGAGGAGCCTTGCCGGAAGCAAAGGTGGCAAGAATGCTCAGGAAGGATCTCCTGCCCCCAAAACAAGGAAATAATAATAATAATAATAATAATAATAATAATAATAATAATAATAATAATAATAATTTATTATTTATACCCCGCCCATCTGGCTGGGCTTCCCCAGCCACTTTGGGTGGCTTCCAAAAAATAAAAATAAAATACTGTAATACATCAAACATTAAAAGCTTCCCTAAACAGGAAAAGCCAATGAGTGTTCCCATTTAGTTTCACAAGCCAGATTTGCAAAAAGTGGTAGGTCTGAGATCACCTTGCCATCAGGTCCCAGGGATGCCGGTATAGGTTGTGGCTGATCTCGCAATACAGAGGAGGGGGAACAATGCACTCTGTATGTACTCAGAAGCATCTTTCATTATGCTTCCTCTGCATTTCTGGGAGACCTGTGATGATTTGCACTCATGGTGGCATGGGGGCATTTATACGTGACCTCCCTTTCAATACTATTTGTGCCTGCCAAAGTTTCCAATCAGTGCATGCTTCCCTTCCAATTAGCACACGTCCCACAACTTCCTGCTGAAAACCGGTCACTTTTTATACCACAAATGTTCCAGTCTGTCTTTTGTCCTGCTTTGTTGCGCTATAGGGCAAAGAGCGCCCCTCCAGATGGCAATAAGGTCGTAACATAGGGGAAGCGTCACAGAACAACGAACAAGAAGAAGAGGAGTTTGGATTTGATATCCCACTTTATCACTACCCGAAGGAGTCTCAAAGCGGCCAACAATCTCCTTTCCCTTCCTCCCCCACAACAAACACTCTGTGAGGTGAGTGGGGCTGAGAGACTTCAGAGAAGTGTGACTAGCCTAAGGTCACCCAGCAGCTGCATGTGGAGGAGCAGGGAAGCGAACCCAGTTCACCAGATTACGAGTCTATCGCTCTTAACCACTACACCACACTGGCTCTCAGAACAAAGCAGAACGAGGTGAGAGCTGTCCAGTATAAATCTACTACTCCTAAGCTTCCCCCTGTACACCTCCCAAAATATATGAAGTGCCATGATTTGTCCATGTCTCATACCCGCAGGTAGGCATCGACATCCTGGCAGGTTTTGGGTTTCTCTCTTGACAGTTCCAGCAGGAACGTTTGGCTCGATTGGCTGGTCTGCTGCAGAAAAACCCGTCGCCCGTATTTCTGCTTCATGCGGTCCAGCTGCAGTTCGGCATTCAGGTCTAGCAGAATGGTGGTGGGGAGGGAATTAGCAGAAAGCAAACACAGCGGGTGGTGATCAAGAGCGAGAAATGGCAACGTTAGGCAGACACGCTTGTTATATTGTTTTAGGTAAAGGGAGCCCTGACCATTAGGTCCAGTCGTGGCCGACTCTGGGGTTGTGGTGCTCATCTCGCTTTATTGGCCGAGGGAGCCGGCGTACAGCTTCCGGGTCATGTGGCCAGCATGACTAAGCCGCTTCTGTCGAACCAGAGCAGTGCACAGAAACGCCGTTTACCTTCCCGCCAGAGCGGTACCTATTTATCTACTTGCACTTGTGTGCTTTCAAACTGCTAGGTTGGCAGGAGCAGGGACCGAGCAACGGGAGCTCACCCCATCACGGGGATTCGAACCGCGACCTTCTGATCGGCAAGTCCTAGGCTCTGTGGTTTAACTCACAGCGCCACCCGCGTCCCCCTATATTGTTTTAGGGGTCTGCTAAAACACCGTTTTAATATTTAAACCATCCTATCTAATTTAGCATTTGCTCTTAAATTTTTGCTGATTTCGTCCGTGTATTGCTGATAATTTCTTACTGTCTCGTGTACACCTTTCAGATCCCTTTTTAAAAAAAATTAAGCAGTTTATAAATCTAAAAATGGAAAATAAAATAAACAAACACAACCCCTGCTAATTTTGCACCCTTAGCAGAGATAGCAAAATAACACCTTTCCGACTCGCTGGACATCAAGAGGTCTGGAGCAAAACACTGTAGGGTTCCATCCACTTCCTAGCACATCGCTACTGGTAGCTGCATACTTACCGTAGCCACAGAAGCACGCAGCTGCAGCAATCGAGAAACTGTACCCCTTCATCAGCCAAATTCCTGGACTATGTCCCAACAATAATTTTTACAGACCAGCATGAGTGACTTCCCTCTTAGTGCGATAGTAGACACCTTTACTGCCGATTGTGTGAATGCAGCAGATTTTTATTTTCTCTGGAAATGTCTTGAAGAGGAATGAAAAACCTGGAAATCCTGCCTGACCACTGCCTCCACCTCTGTAAAACCTATCATTCATAAACAGAGGCAAGCCAGCCTCCGACAGAAAGATGACTATTATCTATAAGTTTCGTCCATTCTGCCAATCTCATTCTCCCCAGTACTGTGGCAGCTTGACTACAAGACCTCCACCTCTTCCCACAGTCAAGGCAACACTCACCAACTTTCTGAGGAATCCTCTTTGCTGACACTTCGGCACATATCTGGATTGTGAAGCTGCATTGAAGAGAAGGAAGGCAATGACTGGGAGCTGGCGACCAACTCTGCCTCCCTGAATGATCCTTGTTTGTCTGCAAACATGTGCTGGCCACACTTTACACTTTTTTTGATGGACCCAGAAATAAGTAATTTGTGATTTCCCCCTCTGCTGGTTTAAAAGGGTTCCTCTTATGCTATATTTCCTCTCCCCATCCATGCCCAGTTGTGTTCTGAACTTTTTCTTTTTAGAGCAGATGGTTATTACTAATTACCCAGTTTGGAGAACAGCCTTAACCAAAGGTGTCATCGGCTTTGAAGACGCTCGAACTCAGGACGCAAGGGAGAAACGTGCTAAGAGGAAGGCACGCTTGGCAAATCCACACCCTGATCAACTCCCGCCCGGAAACCAATGTCCCCACTGTGGAAGGACGTGTGGATCCAGAACTGGCCTCCACAGTCACTTACGGACTCATTGTTAAAACCATGTTAAGGAAGACAATCTTACTCGGCTACGAGTGATCGCCAAAGAAGAAGAAGATTTTTAAATGAGGGGTAATTTCAATTATCATTTTGTTAAGGTTCCAAGAAGATCCCCGAAACCAATTTCCAAAAACAAACTACATCCTGCAAACAGGAAAACCAATGGCATACTTTGATTGTTTTTAAAATGTCTCGTTGATTTGAGCACAGACCCTGAATCTCCTAGGCTACAAAAGGATCTAGATTCAATGCCCTTCCCACCCGGCTCACCAGTTGACTTGTACTCCTGCTACCGTACCCGATTTCTCCTCTGGGTTCAGCGCGCCTGGCAGGACCATCTGGGCTTTGAGAAACAAGACCGGTTGAGCTCTGAGAGGGACCAAAAACAAAAACCTAGTGAACAAGGGTAAGCAGGCAGGAAGTTCCAAGAGTGACAGGAGCATTTGCTGATTCCTTAGTCAAACAGCACTGGCAAAGTGTTGGTGACGAATGCACGAGACCTCCGTGCTGCAAAATCTACAGCTTCCGAGGAGCTTAGGACACCTTATCACGTCAAAGCCCAGCCTGCCTTACCCTAACTTGACTTGCATCCTTGTACACAAGAGCCAGTCACCTTGCGGCCTGCTAGATGCCCAGCTTGGTCAAACAGGTGTTCCTGAGAGATGGTGCCATGTATATAGGGCAGCAAGCGAGAATGAGGTGGCTCATTTAAGGGAGAAGGAAACCTTTGGTCGGATGAGGAGGTGGATTCAGTATGCAACAACAGGGCTGAGGAACCTGTAGCTCTGTGGTGTGCAGTTAGTGTTGACCTTTAAAGCCCTAAAAGGCCTCAGCCCAGTATACCTGAAGGAGCGTCTCCACCTCAATCGTTCAGCCTGGACACTGAGGTCCAGCTCTGAGGGCCTTCTGGCAGTTCCCTCACTGTGAGAAGTGAATCTACAGGGAACCAGACAGAGGGCCTTCTCAGTGGTGGCGCCTGCCCTGTGGAACGCCCTCCCATCAGATGTCAAGGAAATAAACAACTACAGTGGTACCTCGGGTAAGTACTTAATTCATTCCGGAGGTCTGTTCTTAACCTGAAACTGTTATTAACCTGAAGCACCACTTTAGCTAATTGGGGCCTCCTGCTGCCGCAGTGCCGCCGGAGCATGATTTGTGTTCTCATCCTGAAGCAAAGTTCTTAACCTGAAGCACTTTTTCTGGGTTAGCAGAGTCTGTAACCTGAAGCGTATGTAACCCGAGGCACCACTGTATCTGACTTTTAGAAGACATCTGAAGGCAGCCCTGTTTAGGGAAGTTTTTAATGTTTGATATTTTATCGCTTTATTGTTATTATTAATATTCTGTTGGGAGCCACCCAGAGTGGCTGGGGAAACCCAGCCAGATGGGTGATGTATAAATAATAATAATAATAATAATTATTATTATTATTATTAGACTAGGGAGACTAGGCTAGTCCCCTAAATGTTCCCCTGCCACCTCCTTCCCAAAGCCTGGGAAGCTTCTGCCCAACTTAGGAAGGGAGGTGCGATGCTCACACACGCGACGTCATGATGTGGAGCCCCTGCCCTCCAATCGCTGGCGCCCCTGGCCCTAAATGTTCCTCTACGAGAAATGTCACTGCTCTAGCCCTCCAGATGTTGGGCTCCATTTCCCAACAGCCTCTGTCAGCATTAGAGTTGCAGTTCAACAGCATCTGATATATGCAACTGAAAATGAGCTAGTGACTGTCACTGACTCCCCTTCTTTCTGCCCACAGGGTAGTTAAATTATGGCCACTTCTGCAGATGTCAAGGCATTATTATTATTATTATTATTATTATTATTATTATTATTATTATTATTTGAATTTATATACTGCCCTATACCTGGGGGTCTCAGGGCTGTTCACGGAATAAAACCAAGATATAAAAGCACAAAATACCTAATAAAAATAAAAACAGCAACCCAATATCCCCCTACACACAAAAAAACACATTTTAAAAGGGCATAGGATGTAAATCGGATTAACCAAAGGCCTGGTTAAAAAGGAACTTTTTTGCCTGGTGCCTAAAGGTGTACAGTCGTACCTTGGTCTTTGAACAGAATGCGTTCCAGGAGTCTGTTCAACTCCCAGAAACCAAGGTGCGGCTTACGATTGGCTGCAGGAGCGTCCTGCAGCCAATCAGAAGCCACAGAAGCTGTGCCGGATGTTCAGTTTCAGAAAATTGAAAACCGAAACACTCACTTCTGGGTTTCAGTCGTTCAGGAGCTGATTTGTTTGGGAGCCAAGGCTTTTTAAGATCCAATGTACGACTGTATAATGAAGGCGCCAGGCAAACTTCCCTGGGGAGAGCATTCCACAGATGGGGAGCCACTGCAGAGAAGGCCCCGTTCTCGTGTTGCCACCCTCTGAACCTCTCAAGGAGGGCACACGAAGGAGGGCATGGAGTGAATCCTCAGGGTGATGAAGGCATAAAGATCTTTCTTCTTACAATCATCTTCCCCCACCTCTACCAAACTAGGGGAACGATTGTGGTTCCCTCCTAACCCTTTCAGTGCTGGTTGGCTGAAGAGCTTGAAATGGAAGCACAGGGGTGTTGCTCCAAAAAGCAGGGGCCTAAACTGGGAGGGGTGGGGGAGCATTTATAGGCAACAAGGTCTCCAGGGAATTCTCGTTCCACTGGTCTTGGGGCTCCATCGACTCACCTGTACACAGTCACTTTGCTGGCTCTGAAAGCTCCAACCAGCACATCTGTGAAGGGGAACAAGACAACCAAAAAAAGTTAGCAGTCCACCAATAGCTCAGTTGGTTAGAGCATGGTGCTGATAATGTCAAGGCTGCAGGTTTGATACTTCTAAGGGACAGATGCAGGGGGTTGGACTAGATGATCCTCAGGGTCCCTATCAACTCTACAATTCCATGATTCTACGATTCAGTGTTGCAGCATCTCACCAAGCAGCCTCTGTTTCCCAGTTCTGCTCACTCTACTGATGCAGTTAGGAATTAAGTTCTACAAAACCCAAGCAAATTTTGAAACCAGCTAATAATTAAACCAACCCTTGCAAAATCTAGACTTTTTTTATTTAAAAAATAAAATGATTTTCAGCTAATATATGTTATGCTATCCAGATAGGATCACCCAAAGAAAGAAGCAAATATAAAAGGGAAGCTTTGTGTCATGAGAGCAGATTCCATGAACAGCAAGGCAATTAATAAACGTAAATAATTATATGCCTCATTCTTTTCTTCTAGGTACAGGACATCTGGCATAGCCAGAGTCAAAATTCTTTCACAAGTTAGGGCTTATCCACACTTTCCTCCACACTTTCCAGGTACAGTCTTTGCTTTTAAAGCTCAATGTCCAAGCCCCCCCCCCTTTTCTTGCTCCAGACCTTTTATTCTGAAAACCTGCTCTTTGAAGCTCAATTGGAGCAAATGGAAATCTGCGGGAAACCCAAATTGACGTTTGCTCCGATTTAAATACTAAAGAGAGGGTTTTCGCCGGGAAAGAGCAGGGCAAAGTTTAAGTACGGATAAGCCCATTTGCATAGGGGTCCCGTTCCCAGCCCCCACAAACGTAAGTGCTATGCCCCACCCTCATTCCTCCTGCTTCTGGGACCGAAAGGATCTGTGCGCCAGCGATCACGTGTCCGTTGGACATGGCTAAAATGGCCGCCGCCTGTACAGGCAGTGCTAAAACCCAGTGGCTGCCTACTTCCATTGTACGTTACCAGGGTAGCCGTTTGCATCAATGTCCACAGCCCCGCGTATGGCGAAGCCAAACCCAGCCGGCCCAGAGAAGGGATTCTCAAGGATCTGGGTTGGCAATGAACTCAAGCCCTCACGGTGCCCTCGGTAGATGTAAACACGGCCACCTCCATCTTGGCCGGCGAAGGGGGCTCCGATGGCTATGTCTGTGGAAGGAAAGAATGGGTTGGAATGTAAACGCGACGGAACCAAATCGATAAGGTGAAGTCACCCATTTGGTCAGAAAAGATGGCGGGGAAACGGAGGTAAGCAGAGGAAAAGCCCATGACGCAGAAACAGGTCAGGCAGAAAAGGCGTCTGTGTGGTGGGGAAGGCAAAGGTCTCCCACACTCCCAGAAAAAGGCAGGATTCAAATACCAGAAGGAGGACCTGAGGGTTTTCTGGGTACTCCCACATTTGGCTCTGGGGAGGATGTGAATTCTAACACAGCTCACTGGGTCTCTTTGTCTAACCCTCCTTGAGCATTTTTGCTTGGCTGGAATGCTTCTGAAAACATTTCTTGCTTGCCTCCATGAGGAATGTGTAAGTGTGAGTAGGAACAATGTTTTGTATCTACGCCCTTAGTATTTTATTATTATTATTTGTTAAATTTGTACACCACCCTATACCCAACTGGTCTCTGGGCAATTACCATATGTTTCGCTCTATAAGACGCACCAGACCACAAGACTCACCTAGTTTTTGGGGGAGGAAAACAAGAAAAAAAATATTCTGAATCCCAGAAGCCAGAACAGCAAGAGGGATCTGGCTTCTGGGATAGCCACGCAAAGCCTCTTCAGGGCAACGGGATGAAGGCTCCCCCAAGAGCCACGCTCCCTTTAAAGAGCCCGCGGAGTGTGTGTGAGGCTCTTGGGGGCTTTTCCCTGAGGTGGGAGAAGGGACTGATGGGCTGCCCTTCTCCCTCCTTGGGAAAAGCCCCCAAGAGCCGCACACACGCTCCACACGGCTCTTTAAAGGGAGCGCTGAGCAGAGCCTCCCGCCTGCATTCGCTCCATAAGACGCACACACATTTCCCCTTACTTTTTAGGAGGGGGAAAGTGCGTCTTATAGAGCAAAAAATACGGTGCCACATAAAATCACAATATCAAAACACAAAATGCGTAATACTGTATCTATGAGTAATACATTTCAGCGACTCTTAAGGAGATTTTTTTTATTAATCACATCCATTTGCATTCTTTACATTATATCTCTCTGTCTCTTCCTCTCTCCTATTTTGTTATCCTCCTCCCATCTCCTCCCTCAACTACCGGGGCCTGCTGAAGGCAAACTTCTTCAACACAAACTTATCATTAACAGAATACAAGTCTGCCATACAAAGGCAAAATCAATATCTATTGCTCCGCCCAATTTTACCTCTGGCCCTTGTCCTCTGTTGGCATGTGGCCCCTGGAAGGGAATGCGGCCCTCGGGTTAAAACAAAACACTCTCCACCCATGCTATGGTGAGGAACGGGCTGTGATTGTAAGTGAAGCTCCAACGGTCAACCTTGAGCACTCGATTGTGGGGTGAGGGAATGGAGAATAGGAAATTGGGGGTTAAGAGAGGGAGAAAAAGGGGGGTTGGCCTTCCATCCCATCCTTACCAGTGCATCCATCCTGGTCTATGTCGCCCAGGGAAGCAATGGCCATGCCAAAGCGACCGTAGACATCTGTGCCCGTCAGTCTCTGCCAGGGGGTGATGTAAGCAGTGGGGGTCTTCTGCTGCAGGTATAAGTAAACTCTTCCCACTTCATAGAGTTTGCGGTCGGAGTGGCGTTCCATGAAGAGAGGGGCCCCCACCAGGATGTCATCTTTTCTAGTTGAGGGGGGAGAACAGAAAAGTTCCCTTAGAGCTCTGCGCAAGTCAGACTCCAGCGAGAGGTGCTGCTGCTTCTAGGTCCAGGGTGTCTGCATTATCCGATGGAATCCATTCTTTTAACCAACTCAGGCAGGCTGCTTCATAATAGATTTGCAGACCTGCCAGGTTTCTAAGCAGAAGTTGGAGACCATCTGCCATGGATGAACTAGTTGAGATTCCTGCATCACAGGGGGTTGGGCTGGATGACCTTTGGGGGGGGTCCCTCGCAAGTCTGCAGTTCTATGATTTTGGAGTTCACCCAAATACACTCACAGGGCTCAGTGACCCAGGCAGTAGGAACCAATTGATAGAATTTCTATGATGCTTTTCATTCAAATGAATCCCAAATCGGCTTGCAAACTATATATAGCAATAGCATAATAGAACATCACAACTGCAGAAGAACTTTATATGGGCTCTTGGGTACCCCATAAGGGAAAAGGATCAGTTTTTTTACTTATATCAGGGTAAAACCTAAGCGTGTTTCTGCCAAGGCTGCAGGAGCAGCCAACTGACAAGAGAAGGCAGCAGACTCCAAAAATGGGTACCTAGATCTCACGGGGAAAGGATTGTCCTTCAATTAACTTTTTGGGGGGGAGTGGGGGTGTGCAAGCTTCTAGATTAAAACAGCACTCTTAATCAGAGGGCTCACTGGGGAGGATGCATGCTTCTGAGTTACTCTAAAATTGTGATCAGCAGCAGTTTTACTGTATGACCATTTAAACTGGAGTGAGGGGCGGTTTGGGATAGCCACTCCAGCCCCCCACTCTCGCCTTTGCTTCAGCACATGGTACTTCTAAGGGGCCCAGGTCTGGTCCCATGAGCCGCCAGATGATGTCTGTTCTAAAGCAATCACATTCCAGTTAAGTATAAATTGGTTTAACTGGCACGGAAATGAAAAATGTATGTGTATTAATGGAGTTTTAAAATGGGAAATGGCTAAATTCTACGGCTGACTTTGGGCTAACATTTTCCACAGTAAGTTTCTAAAGGACTCTGAGCTGTAACTAGTTAATGATCACCTGTTGATTGTTTCTCTGTGCTGGGAGTGAACCTTTGATCATGCGTTGAAGGTATTGAGTTGTAAATCTCCATTTTGAAGGGAGTTGCCTATTTAGTCATTCTCAGAACAGGCAGAGAACAAAAGTATGTGATCATGATTCTCCAAAAAGAGTTGCATAGCCCTAGGCAGACTAAGGCAGTCTGGAATTGGGGAGAGAGACACCATTTTGATTTTGGGAGTTACGGGCATCTTTTATTTCTAAGATGCTGAGCCTGTTCCAGAGAGCACAAGACATCGTATGGATACAGTGGTACGTCGGGTTAAGAACTTAACTCGTTCTGGAGGTCCGTTCTTAACCTGAAACTGTTCTTAACCTGAGGTACCACTTTAGCTAATGGGGCCTCCCGTTGCCGCCACGCCACCGCCATGCAATTTCTGTTCTTATCCTGAAGCAAAGTTATTAACCCGAGGTACTATTTCTGGGTTAGCGGAGGCTGTAACCTGAAGCATCTGTAACCTGAGGTACCACTGTATTTGGGGTGTATCTTGGATGCTTATGTCATGTTTTTAAAGAGTTATGCAAGCAAAAGTTTTAATAATATTTTTATGGGCCTGGACGATTATTTATTCCAAAAGGAATCTGTTCTTATGATTCCAATACCTTCAAACTATGCGCTATTAATATCTGGAACAATAATTAATATCCCTCCCCGTGCACTGGGTTGTAATTTAAGCCTAGTGTTACGGTTCGGATCTGAGTGCAAGGGGATGAGGTCTTCAACCTGAAGCCATATTTATAGCAGGGGGAAGATAGATTAAAACTCTAGACACATGAGAAAGGAAATTCAGGAAAATGTGTTGAAAACCTCATAGCAAGAAATCACATTAGTGAAAAACAGGACTCCACAGCACCATCTGGTGTCACAGTATTATAACAAATATAAAAAGCTTTTTCTTTACTAATGTTGCTGAGTCCTTAGTTTGACCATTCACAGAGCTGTTCCAAATCCAAATCAACTGCCAACTGCAGTGCTAACTCCTGTGGCCTTACCCATCGCCATTGATATCTGCAACTGCAACTGTGTGCCCAAAATAGGATGCCACCTGCAAGAGGTAAGAGGGTGAAAAACAATGTGCATCTCCCACTTTTATATTACAACAACAACAACAATAATAATCCTGGCAGCCAGTAATAGTAAAGGCAACAACACAAAATAGCCAATCCATATATCTTAATAAGCAATACTGAAATGAGAGCGTATTAGAATCAAATAAGTGCAGATAAAAAGCAAATAAAAGCAAGAGGCATCCATTTCAACACACAATTCAATTTAAAAATGACAGATTAAATACAGTGGGGGGAAATAATCTCAAGAAGCCTTTATAAATAAAAAGGATGGGTTGCTGGCCAGCAGAAGGTCATCAAGGGCCAGCTGAGCCTCTCTCAGTAGGGAGCTCCCAAGTTTGGGTGCAGCCACTGAGAAGGCCCTGTGCCAGGTTTTATAATACCCCTTTGGCATTATGTCTGGCTGAGAAAAGCATGCCAGGGAAGAGGCAGGAGGGAAGGGAACCATGTTGCTCAAGGCTCTGTTACCTGCTCACTGGGGAGGGACCGCAGAAGAAGGAAGGAACGCTTGAAGGTGAAAATTTGCACCTAGGATGGGGGACAGGGATAAGAGAATCAGGGAGATTTCAAGGGTTAGTGAATCCCACCCTTCATATTTCTCAAGAAGGTGGAGGTAAGAAAGCAACCACCGCCCTCCATTGCTGAGAGTGATCACAGTGTGCTTCACAGGGCAGGGTAAGAATAGCACAGATGGAGCCCCAAATCAGGGTGGCATTGGGGCAGTGGCAAGCAAAGCCTACATGGTTGTGTCATAACTCTTCCCTATGACCCCCAGAACCTGCTTTCAATGCAAAGCAATATGCGAAATAATAACGACAGAGTGGCACAGGGCTTATTTTTGGCACATTATTAGCACACACCCTGTCCTCTGAAGCTAGGTACCACTGCTCTCAGCCCTAGAACATACAGTCATACCTCATGTTATGTTTGCTTCAGGTTGCACGTTTTCAGGTTGCGTCCCGTGGCGACCCGGAAGTACCGGAAAGGGTTAGTTCCGGGTTTCGCCGCTCGTGCATGCGCAGACATGCAAAATGACGTCGCGCGCATGTGCAGAAGCGGCGAATCGCAACCCGTGCATGCGCAGACACGCAGACGGGGGTTGCGTTCTTTTCAGGTTGCGAACGGGCCTCCGGAACGGATCCTGATCGCAACCAGAGGTACCACTGTATACTGAAACAACAGTAAAGACAAGGGTGTCTCTGAGCATGCAGGGCTCTTTTGTTTCGGATTAGATGGAGGGCACAACACAAAGCATACAGGCCTGACGCCCCTGAAACCTCTTGTGTCTGGAATTCAGCACAGCCTGTGCACTTCTTTCCAGATGCGCAGAAGAAAAAATGTAGATCTCCTGCACAGGACTCACCGCTCCTTTTGTCAGGCTCTTGTTAGGAACGCCCACAACATACTCTGCAAAGAGAAGAGCCATCTCAGAGGTTGTGAATCACCCAGTAGGCTAAGTTCACAACACTCCAGTCATGAGGTTTGTGCTAAAGTGTCCTGAAGACTGAGCGTGGGAAGAGCTATCTTAGTCTGGAACACTGTGGCCAAGAAGGGATGGCCCTAGCAACATCATAAAATCTTACTGATAATGTTAAAAGGTCCTGTATACCTGAAGGAGCATCTCCACCCCCATCGTTCAGCCCGGACACTGAGATCCAGTGCTGAGGGCCTTCTGGCGGTTCCCTCATTGCGAGAAGTGAGACTACAGGGAACCAGGCAGAGGGCCTTCTTGGTAGTGGCGCCCGCCCTGTGGAACGCCCTCCCATCAGATGTCAAAGAGGTAAACAACTACCTGACATTCAGAAGACATCTTAAGGCAGCCCTGTTCAGGGAAGTTTTTAATATTTAACGCTGTACTGTTTTTAACACTTGATTGGGAGCCGCCCAGAGTGGCTGGGGAAACTCAGCCAGATGGGCGGGGTATAAATAATAAATTATTATTATTATATTATAAAAGATAAAAGGCCCCTGCCCCACACTGTAGGCAAGGAACAACAGCAGCTCGTTCTTCTGTTGCTCCGTACAGCAGCCTGGCAAAATACGTTAATTGTATAATTCCCATTTTACAGATGGGAAAGCTGGTGCTGGGAGACACTGATTGGACTAAAGTCACAAAGTCAGCCCATGACTAAGGCTTGAGGACACCCCATAAGGCACTCCCCCAGACAAATAGTTCTGGGTTTAACCCTCACATACCTACAATTCCCAGTGCCCTTAGCAAACTACAGTTCCCAGGATGCTTGGGAAGTGTTGTCTACTGAAGTTCTCACCCTGGGCCAGCAGAGGGATACTGTAGATAGTTATGCAAATAAGGGATCGAAAGTGACGTTCAGTGATTGGGTAGTTTTAGAAAATTGTTACAGTTACGTTGTACTGGAGCTCTATATAAGCAGGCTGACTGAACACTTCAGTTCAGTTCTGTGAATAAACAAGAGCTGTTTGAAGAATCGCTGTGTCGTCTGATATGTTCACCCACAACTTAACAGGAGGGAGGGTAGGGAACTGTGCTTTAAATGTGTTTTAAATGTATACTGTCTGCAGTATGCAGCTGCAATTCAAATGCCTAGCAATAAGTGCCAGTCGTTTATGTTGAGCAAAGTTAAGCTTAACCAAGCCGCAAAGCCAGGGGTACCTACTGTACCCCTGTTGACCCTAGAGCTGAGCCAAAATTTCTGAAAAGAGTTAAAGGGGGGCAGTTCTGCTGACTGCCCTCCAATTATTTCCCCTATTATGTAAATGGAAGCTCTCAGGTTTTCCCCACAATACCCTAAACAATGCTAGGATGTTGAGCAGGGGTCCTCAAACTTTTTCAGCAGGCGCCTGGTCCGCTGTGCCTCAGAACTTGTGGGGGGCCGGACTATATTTTTTTTGGGGGGGGGGGGATGAACGAGGGGCAACGAGTGGCGTGCAAAAGGGCTCCAGAGAGGGACTGCTTTAAATGGCAGGCGCTTGAGAGGGGCGCTCAGCCAACTGCGGCTCCTGTGTCTTGCGAGCGGCAGGGGCTGGTGGCGCGGAGGTACGATGAGTGGCACGTGAAAGGGCTCTGGAGAGGGGCTGGCACCAACAAAGCCCTGCCCCCTTCCTCCTCTAGGCAGGGCAGGGAGAAGCCAGGAGGAGGGAGGGAGGAGGTGCCGCTGCCGCTGTGTGAGGAAGAGGGAGGGAGGGAGGGAGGGAGAGGGAAAGAACGCATGTGCTGGCAATCCACGTGTTGGCAATTCCCGGGCAGTCCAGGGGCCGGATTTAGAAGGCAATTGGGCCTGATTTGGCCCGCGGACCTTAGTTTGCCAACCCATGATGTTGAGGATGCCAACATACAATTGCCACTTTCAGAAGCTAGGGTGGCTGGAGAGAATTAGGAGGGGGAAAGGAAGTAGCCTTGCCACTGCTAATAGTGATCCCCCACCTCCAAGGAACTACTCCCCCTGAGAATATTTGACATAATGGCTTCCTTTCCCTCCCCAATTTTGCCATTCATTCAAATGATGGAGAATTTCAGGAGATGACTTTTGCTCAGCTCCAGACCCCACCGTACTCCACCCCGAAAAACCACCCCCGGCAAAGACTCATTCCCTTACCTGGCGACTCAGGGTCCTCATTAAACTCCCCAAAAGCCACTGAATACCCTGCATGGATGGAAGGATGAGAAGATTTAGTCATCTGGCAAAATCTCCAAAGCTAAGAAGGACTCGCTGTGCTCCTACCCATGAGCAGCAGAAGTAGAACCAAGTATGAAAAGTATGTATTAATATAGTATGTGTTAATATATGCAAGTCTGTGTGATGGCCTGGGAATCCGATTCAGGGGCCGAACCAGAGGAACTCCAGCCTGCACAGGAGTCCCCACCTCCAGGGCCGGCTGAGCTGGGGCAGGGCCTTGGATCTGAAGCGCCTGCACCTGTGCTGGATCCTCAGGAGCAGGCACCAGGTGAATCTACTCTGGCTCCGGAGGTGGTTGAGGACTCAGTGCCTACAGGTGAGTCTCCCCCTGGGTCCAGTAACCCTTCAGCCTCTCCTGAACTGCAGAGGCTCAGGGCAGAGAGGCGGAGGGAACTGGTTTCTTCCAGGAGGAGTGCTTGCCTTAAGGCCTGGAGAGGCGGGTCTCTTGGGGGCCGGGACCGCCCCTGGCCTCAGAGAAGATAAAGGCCAGTCAACCCGGTCCCAGGTTGCGGGAGCAACATCGTTGAAGAGCTGTTTTGGCCAGCACCCAGTCTGGTTCCCCCAGAGTTCCTGTCCTTGCCCGGCTCCTCGCTGTGGACCCTGATTCACCCATGGAGGACTGTCCGACTCTCGACTCAGGCCCTGGACCTCACCCCACAGTGACCTCCCGCCCCTGGACCAGCACAGTCTGCTTAGTTTGCATGACTGACATAGTTTAGATTTCTTTCCCCCCTTGGATAGAAAGTTCATCTTTTCTAGGGCACACTGGAAGCCCTGCCTTAGAGGCTCATCTGTAGACAATTCCTTCCACAAGGGCTAGTTCTGGACCAAAGGGCCAAGCCAGAATGGGAAGGGCAATGGCGAGAGGAGATGAAGCACAACCAGTGCAGCATCTTTGCACCAGGCTTTGTTTTGTTTTTAACTTGATTGAGTTATATTCCCATCCCTTCCCAAAATGTGTTTTCTGTCCCATCTGGATGACCTTTCCCCCAAACCACTTGGAACAGGGTCAGTCACTGGGGAAGAAGGGGTGCTGCTGGGAGCCAGTATGCTTGGGTACCATTTATGAGCTGCAGTCCTGGAAAAAGGAACAGTTGTTAAGTATGATTGTTTAATGTACATAGAAATGCAAAATAAATATAGAATGTGCCTGTATTAGATACTGTGAAGCAAGACTGGAAAATTAAATTGAAGCTGAAGAACAGCCAAACAGGTTAATCATTAGTGGGGATCTATCATGGGACTATATCTCCCCGGGATCAGTCACATGAAAGAGATCCTATATATGCTAATCTGCAGGCATCCATCTTGGGTAGAGTGAGTAATTTGTTCTAAGCTACTGAAGAGAATGGACGTGTTTACCTCTGTCCTCCAGTAAAGAGCCTAGGGCCACTGGAGGCTGTTTGAGGAAGAGACAGAGCTTTAATTTTTAGCTCAGGATGCAAGCTATATGCAATGTAAAATATTATGCCTTACACTTGGACAAGTATAAGAAACTATGCATCTACTTGGAAGTAGATTTATTTGTTTTAATTTGTTTGAGAGTTAAGTTCTGTATGTAAAACTTTTGAACCCCGTTTTTGGACTGGTTAATTTTTATTTCAAATGAGAGTCATATTTTTTTCCCATCCAACGGCTTCCATGTGTGCAGTATTCATAACCTCGATAACAGTAGCATCAAAAGGGGGAAGGTACAGGCATTCTCCCCCTTGCTGAGGCCTTAGAACAGTCTTTGTCAACTTTGAGATAAAGTCCAAAGAAAGAGATGGGCAGGAGATGTATGGGGCAGGGGAAGAGGGAGAGGTCCCTCTGGGTCTCACCCACTTTTGGTGTGCAGCCCACAAAAGATTTCTCCCCAAGAGGATGTGGCTTTGGGGGGGGGTAAAAGGCTTCCTTGCATTCTTTCCTTAGTCTATTCCCAAACTCCTTTTAACTCCTCTCAGAAGCTCTGCCTCTCCCTCGGCTACTCCAGCGTTTGCAGATGAAGATGCATGTCCCCTTACCTCGATATTCATCGTAGTATAAGGCGGTGAAAGCTGTGAGTTTCAGCTCATTCAGTGACCACAAAAGGGTATGTTTGAGAGGAGCATTTGCTAGGACCGTGGACAAATTGGATGAATAGATCAGCCCTGGAAGAGGAGCAAGGCAGAGGCATCAGTCCCTCGGCAAAGGTGGGACCACCTACATGAGGCAGCAGAGGCAGCAGAACGGACAATTTGTGCTCTTGTTCCCACAGGGTAAAGGTAAAGGGACCCCTGACCATTAGGTCCAGTCGTGGCCGACTCTGGGGTTGCAGCACTCATCTTGCTTTATTGGCTGAGGGAGCTGGCGTGCAGCTTCTGGGTCATGTGGCCAGCATGACTAAGCCGCTTCTGGCGAACCAGAGCAGCGCACGGAAACGCCGTTTACCTTCCCGCCGGAGCGGTACCTATTTATCTACTTGCACTTTGACATGATTTCGAACTGCTAGGTGGGCAGGAGCAGGGACCGAGCAACGGGAGCTCACCCCATCGGGGGATTTTGAACCGCCTGAACTTCTGATCGGCAAGTCCTAGGCTCTGTGGTTTAACCCACAGCGCCACCCGCATCCCCTCATTTGTTCCCACAAACCAGGTGCTAAAAAGGACAGCGGTCAACTGAACAGGGTCTGCCGCACCCTGCTGAATAGTAGGGAATGCAGACTAGCAAGCAAAGGCTAAATATGGATTTCTCACACTCTCCAATAAGAAGTGCCTGCTGGGTAGGGCAAGTGGCCCATCTAGTCTGGCATCCTGTGTTTTCAGAGGTCAACCAGGGGTCCCCAAGGGAAACCCATAAGTGGGACCTGGTGCAACAACACTCTCCCCTCCTGCCATTTCCAGAAACTGGTATTCAGAAGCATGCTGCCTCTGACAGTGGAGGAAGGACATATCCATACAATTAGGAAAGGACTAAGGAGCTTTGTTAAATATGTGATTATGGCGGCGAGACTTTTATATGCACAAGGATGGAAGGACTCTTCGTTACCAACTATGGAGGAATGGTTGTTAAAATTAGTGGACTTAGCCGAGATGGCGAAACCGACCTGCTTAATCAGAGAGAAGTCATTGCTAGCATTTACTGAAGATAGGAAACCTCTCATAGACGTTTTGCGTGAAAAAGAAAATGAACTAATGACATTTGGGTTTGAGGATTGAAGATAATGTTGGTTTATAGAAAGTGCGTGGCGCTGTGGGTTAAACCACAGAGCCTAGGACTTGCCGATCAGAAGGTTGGCGATTCGAATCCCTGCGACAGGGTGAGCTCCCGTTCCCCGGTCCCTGCTCCTGCCCACCTTGCAGTTCGAAAGCACGTCAAAGTGCAAGTAGATAAATAGGTACCGCTCTGGCGGGAAGGTAAACGGCGTTTCCGTGCACTGCTCTGGTTCGCCAGAAGCGGCTTAGTCGTGCTGGCCACATGACCCGGAAGCTGTACGCCGGCTCCCTCAGCCAATAAAGCGAGATGAGCGCCGCAACCCCAGAGTCGGTCACGACTGGACCTAATGGTCAGGAGTCCCTTTACCTTTGTTGGAGTGACTGAGTTGAATAACATCCATATGTAGCAAACAGATGAAGAATTAGAAGTTTTGTATTTCCTTCCTTCCTTCCTTCCTTCCTTCCTTCCTTCCTTCCTTCCTTCCTTCCTTCTCTATTGTTCTATCCCCTTTCTTTGCTTTCTTTTTGCCTTCTTTTTATTTAAACGTTTTGATAAAAATATAATAGATGATAATCTTTCTATCCCTTTCCACAAACTCTAAGAAAATTTATTTAAAAAGAGAAAGAAGATATCCATCAGGGATTGTAGCTACTAATGGCCTTAACTGGCATCCCCATATCCCTGGAGCTCTCGGCCTACAGCAGTGGCAGGGAGCCTGTGGCACTACAGATGCTTCTGGATTCGAACTCCCATCAACCTCCAGCCATCATGGCCAAGGGTCAGGGAAGATGGGAGGTGTAGTCCAACAACATCTGGAGAGTCCTTTGTCTGCTGCGGGGAAGGGAAGGGAATGAAAGCACTTACCTCCAAAGTAATATCCACCAGGAGCCCCAAGTAAAAGTCTCCCAGACTGTGGGGAGAAGAGAGGAGGTCAGAGTCACAAAATGACAGCCACACAAGACTAGAAGAAACCCTGTGAACAGCTGCCCACCACCCATGAGACCCAGAGGGTGGCACGCCAGCTCCACACACACTTCTACAAAACCAGAGAAGCAAACATCTGCCTCTATACGCCATGCAGAAAAAAGTTTTTTTGCTTTGCTCTGCACACCCAAGGACGACTTCTGTGTGACACCGAAGCTTGCGGCCAGCATTTTGGCAGCTGACTGCTTTACACAAAAAGGCACAGCCTCAATGTGTGTTGAACAAACCACCTATTTGCAACTCAGAAGACATCAGCAATTACCCGCTAACCTAAAACAATAGGCACAGCCTCTTTACAGCTGGTTTCCCCCCACTAAGCTATGTTGGCAATTCCAGTGATGACTAAGGCCCTGTTCACACCATACATTTAAAGCACTATGGTACCACTTTAAAGTGAGAGCTGGACCATAAAGAAGGCTGATCACCGAAGAATGGATGCTTTTGAATTATGGTGCTGGAGGAGCCTCTCAAGAGTCCCATGGACTGAAAGAAGATCAAACCTCTCCATTCTTCAGGATATCAGCCCTGAATGCTCACTGGAAGGACAGATCCTGAAGCTGAGGCTCCAATACTTTGGCCACCTCATGAGAAGAGAAGACTCCCTGGAAAAGACCCTGATGTTGGGAAAGATGGAGGGCACAAGGAGAAGGGGACAACAGAGGGCGAGATGGTTGGGCAGTGTTCTCAAAGCTACCAGTATGAGTTTGACCAAACTGCGGGAGGCAGTGGAAGACAGGCGTGCCTGGCGTGCTCTGGTCCATGGGGTCACAAAGAGTCGGACATGACTAAACGACTAAATAACAACAACCACTTTAAAGAGTCATGGCTTCCCCCGAATAATTCTGGGACTTGGTATTTGTTAAGGGTGCTGGGAGTTTTTGGGAGACCCCTATTCCCTTCACAGAGCTCCAGTTCTTTGTGAAGAGGGATTGGTTGTTAAATCACTCAAAATTGTGTCTCAGGTGTGGGGAGCCATGCTTCTTGGGGCCATGCCCCTCTCCCTCCCAAAACTCACCTCAGAGATGGCAGAGCTGAATCCAACCTCACAGTAGCGGTGGTCGTTTGCTGATTGAAGGCAAAGAAACAGAAAAGCCATGTAAATCAATTGGGCGACAGTGTGGGGAAGACCCCTCACATCAAGGATGGGGAGCCTGCGGCCCTCTGGACTTCAACTCCCATCAGCCCCTGCAAGCATTTCAAGAGGTCAAGGATGATGGGAATTGTAGTCCAGCGGCCTTTGGAGCCCCACAACTCCCCTTTGTGCACATACCAGGACACCATACCCAAACGCCGTTCCTCCTTCAGCTTCGGACTGGGCTGCCTAAACATGGTCTTCTTACCACATTTATTTTCTTATCACTGGTCTTGGTTATGCACATGTATATTTAACTTACCAAAACATGAATTGTAATCAGAAAACCTAAGTTAAATATACATTCACATCACCAATTACTTATCAACGTTTCATATCAAATTTCATATTATTAATTTAGTATAAATAATCCGGCCAGCCTTTTCCAAAACATCCCCCCCCCATTTGATAAAAATTGACATGTTAAGTTGGGCTTATACACTTTATTATTAAAATTTGCACAAATGATTTGTAAAACAGTTTTTAACGGCTTATATTCCTACTGCCCCTGAGGACAAATTGTGCTGGTTGTAGGTAGGTATCCCTAACGGAATAGCCTCCACTTGACATTGCAAAGCTCTGGTTTTTCAGAAGGACCCAAACAACTTTCTTCTAGAATGGGGAGGGATTGTAGTGACCATTGTTGCTTGAGTGAAGCCACACATGCTGTTTGTTTGCAATTGAGCGTGTAGGAGCATGGGGCAAACCACTCGACAGCCGTTTACACGAGGCCAGACATGGAATCTGAGCAGACTAGAGCGGTCTGAAAAGCAAAACAAGGGTGCCATTCATTCAAAGGCAAAGTTTCTGGGCAAAAATTCTGCACCCCCTCTCCTTAAGGCCTGGAGCTTCGGCTATTGCACATTCCCTGCCACCTGCATATTGCACTCACCATATCTTGTCAACTTGTAAACTGATTCCATTTGGATATTGCGGCATGGCGAGAATTCAACAAAGCGCTGCAGGCCACTTGTGGCTAAGAAACAGCTGCCCGTGGGGGTCTTTGTGGCTTCCTCTTGGCCAGAAATGGCATTCCAGTGCTGGAGAGGGGCGCAAGCCTGGTAGGGTGAAAAACTGGGGTGAGCAGGATGTTGTATCAATGACAATCACACCCCTCCAGGAGGGAAAAATTGGTAATTGCAGAGGATGGATGGCTGTTCACCCTACTTATATTTATATTTAAAAGGCTATCAAAGGACTCTCTGACTTTTGAAAGTGTCCTCTGAAGGGCTGCTGTTTAAGGCTGAAAAATATTAAGGAGGGAGAGCAGGGGCCTTTAAGCTGCCCACCAACACTTAACATCTGGGCAGCAGACTGAACAAAGAAGACAGGTTTTTCTGGTCACAGGTCTTCCTCATTATAGTGAGATGTATTGCGTCTGTTGAAATTATCGTTAGCAGAGTCGCTTAAATAATGCGTCCAGAGAGAAAAAGTCTTGTTAACACCATACTAAGCAAAACTGAATTAAAGAATGGTGCATAATTTGAGGAGAAAGGAACAGAGACGATTTGGCTTTCTTAGGTCAGCCCAAATTGCCTCAGAACTAACCAGCCAATCAGAGCATGTGCTCCCTCAGTGAAGATCATGCCACTCTGCCTGGTTGCTAAGCAACCCCTCCTCCCACCCTTTGGCTAGTTGACTAACTCTTAATCTAATTAGCCAGTTTTAACCCATAGTTTATTAATAGGAAGAGCCCTGCTGTTGCTCTTCCAACAATTATAAGCTGATTCCAGGCGACCCGTTTATTGAGTATTCGTCCCGATTTGCCTGCACAAAGTTTGTGGGGAGTCTGTACAACATCTAAAATTTATTGAGCGTTCCTTCTGGTTTGTTTGCAGCGAGGCTCGATTTAATTCCACCCCTTTCTGCTTCTGAAGAAGAGAAGAGAAGAGTTTGGATTTGATATCCCGCCTTTCACTCCCCTTCAGGAGTCTCAAAGCGGCTAACATTCTCCTTTCCCTTCCTCCCCCACAACAAACACTCTGTGGGGTGAGTGGGGCTGAGAGACTTCAAAGAAGTGTGACTGGCCCAAGGTCACCCAGCAGCTGCATGTGGAGGAGCGGAGACGCGAACCCGGTTACCCAGATTACGTGACTACCGCTCTTAACCACTACACCACACTGAAGCTTCTCTGAGACGGTCTGTTTATTGTACCCACCACGATGGTGTCTTTCCAGGTGCTCACAGAGGCTCCGAACCATTGTTTAGTCTTGAAGGTTTTCACAACCACACTGTGCAGCTGCTCAACCTCATCACCTGGCCAGCAGCGGCATAGGAGAAGGAAGAGAGGAGTCAGATTTGAAGGCAGAAGCTACTGACCCACCATATCACACCCCCCCTCAGCCACATGCCATCCATGAGTAGTCAGTCTGACTGCAGGTTTGTACATGCAGGCAAGATGCCATTAGCTCTTTCCTCACATCTCATCAGATGCCCACCTCCAAATAGCTCCGATTTCTCCCAGGCCCACCTCAAGTTCATGACTCAGCCAGGATCTCATCCTTGGCCCCCGATTTTCTCACCCCCAAATCTCACATGGCTCCCCACCACAAGCATCATTTTCCATCTCCTTGTGGGATAATAATAATAATAATAATAATAATAATAATAATAATAATTTTTATTTATACCCCGCCCTCCCCAGCCAAGGCTGGGCTCAGGGTAGCTAACTAGCAATAATAAAAACAAGTTGAATTAATACAACTTAAAAACAAGATTAAAATACAACATTAGAATACTGAAACATTAAAATATTAAAATGCAGCCTCATCACAGGAGGAGAAAGGAAAAAGAAAAAAGAAAGTGGGGAAGGGAATCAAATTGGCTCCAAGCCAAAGGCCAGGCAGACCAACTCTGTCTTACAGGCCCTGCGGAAAGAAATCAGATCCTGCAGGACCCTGGTCTCATGAGGCAGAGCGTTCCACCAGGCCGGAGCCAGTGTTGAAAAGGCCCTGGCTCTGGGTGAAGCCAATCTAACTTCCTTAGGGCTCAGGACCACTAGGGTGTTGCTATTTATGGCGCTTGAGGTTCTCCGTGGGGCATACTGGGAGAGGTGGTCGCGTAGGTACGAGGGCCCTAGGCCGTGAAGGTTTGTAGGGGATGGATCTTGCAGGGCAAGTTCAGAGTGGGGGCAGTAGCCACACATGTGTAAGACAGGCATGCATGATGCACTGTCACTGGGGTTGCTTGCTGATCTCACGAAAGCTGTGTGAACCATCCCTGTACATGACAACATTGCCTTTATCTGTGATCACAACTCCTACCTGCCTCAGTTTAAACTGAGGTTGCAGTTGCAGATGTTAGCCACACCCACACATACAGTGATTCCATGAAGAGTTTCCTCCTCATATTGGGACTGGCTCACACATGCGCATGCCCTACAAGTGCTACTGATTCTGGCAGTGAGACCAGTGCTTGGAATGTTCCAGTTGAACATCACTGAAATGCAAGACATCTCTGAAAATGGTTGCCAGATGAATTAAGTTCATTTTGGGGTAATGACTCCTAGTCCATATTTATCTTCATTCCTGCTTGACCACCCCCATAAATAAAAGGAGGCCTGGACTCTTAGCTTTCATGTAAAAAAGTAATCATCAGAAATCTATTAAGAAAGTTAGATAGCCAAAGCATGGAGGCAACATTCTAAGGCTTATTAGGCACATACAGAGGCACTGCTCTTGTTAAGGATGCTTAGGCAGGAAATTTAAGGACTATTTGAATAAATAGTGTAATATAAAAAATTAGAAATTACTTGAAAGAAACAAACAGGCCTAGGATTAAACTAAGTTATAATTAAATAAATGGGATTTAGAATATTAAGAAATGTGAATAAGATGGACTATAATTGGAAATTGTTTTAGTTCAATAATGATATTGGAAAGCTGTTACTTTCAACTACAAGGAAACTCAGAAGGGAGGAACTAGAGGAAGTCAAACAAGATGTTTCAAAGGTTGGATTTGTAAAGAATTAAGTTTGTTGTTATTTTTTCTGTTTTTTGTTCCTTTTTTGCTTTTGTTCATTGATGTATTTTTTCCCCTGTTTTTGTGTGTTATTCTGCTTTGTGGTTTTTGTTATTATCCAATAAATTTAAATAAATAACAAAATAAATTTTGTTATTATCCAATAATTATTTTTTTTAAAGGATGCTTAGGCATTTAACACTGCTGCTAAGTAATCAGAAGGAAGGAATGTGAGGCATTTCCTGCATCTTCCCAATCCCCACTGAATAGATTAGTTCTTTTTTTGACAGGAGCAGCTTGCAACAAGAAATACAGGTAAAGAAACAGAGTGAATGATGCCTCGCACCATTGTGGATGGCACAAATTAAGCAAGGTAACCTTTTCTACTATGGAAACACAATTATGGGCAAATCTTCACCTGTTGACGTTTTGAGTTAGACTGCCCTTTCCTGCTTGTATAGACCCTATAATGACTCCAAAATCATGGGGGATCACTCACCTTTGGTATCAAACTGAATGGGGGCGCAGGCACTGCCACCAGGCGCCCAGGGACACAGATAGACAGCACCCGCCTCCGTCACACCAGTTTGCGAGCTGTTGGCCTGTGGGGCACCAACCACCACATTCATGCTAGGGTGGAAAAAAAGGTCAGTCTGGGACTGGTAGGATACAACGCAGGGAGCCAGCAGCAGGTGGAGCCAGTGACAGGCAGAGCCAACTACAGGTACACCTCATCCCTGCTGTCAGTTTCCTGTCTCTGGCCCTCTTCACCTTCCCTACTAGGGACAGAATCACAAATGTTTGGGCACAGCGGCCTTATGTGGCAAACCACCAGTTGGAAGAATCTCCCTGCTAGGAATGTTTTCCAAGCCTCTGCAGTAGCCCTGGCTGCTCAGCCCAGCTGGACCACGAGGGTCTTGCACTAGTCCTTTGCTTGGGCACGTACGCTTACGGAACCACAAATCAAGCTCCAACCCACCAATTTTTTCAAGTAACTGGATGTGTGAATTTCTGATCGAAAAATAACCTGGTTCAACCTCCTGAAACTGAACTTACATCTCACTTAGGAAAGGCTTTTATTTTGCAAGGAAATAACTTGTTGCCATCAACATGCACCAGATCTGCTGTAATTAAAAAGCCACACATACCAGCAGCCGTTATTAACATTCTGTGGCAGAGATGAGGAACCTATGGCTCTTCAGTTGTTCTGGGACTACAACTCCCATCATCCCTGACCATTGGTCATGCCAGGTTGCAAACAATGATTGCCTTACTGTAGGAACAAATTGTTCCTATTGCCTCATCTTGGGCAAACTGCTTAATCCCCCCCCCCCCGTTCCTGCATTTTAAGAATGACCTGCCCTTCCCTTTTCACCCTTTCCATGCTGCTCCTGATGCATCTGTTTGAAGACGGGGTATCTCTGGCTGCCAGATGTTAATATTAGGATGAGTATTGTGCTGCATCCAGGAATAGTGAATTTATTGCGCCCTCTCCCCCCATTCCAGCAGTGACACAGCCCTGGCACTCTTGAACTAGTACAACCCCTGCCCCGGGCCTTTGTTTAGACTCCTGCCGTAGAGCTCCGTAGACCTTGTCTAATATAGCATTTAAGTATGAACATCTGCATGGTGCCTGCACCCAGTCAAGGTTCAATGGATAAAAGCCTCATGCACTGCTGTCGTGCATCTTGCCAGCCAAATAGGCTGTTGGCCTTTCCCAAGACATCTGTTGTCATCTTCCAAGTCCCTGTTGTCCACCTCCCGAGGTTCTGTTAGTGCACCATTCCCTCCCGCCATACTGTGCCTTGCCCAGTGCTGTCCTACCTGCCTTTACTGTCCCGGTAGAAATCCAAGGCAAACCCAAAATAGCTTCCGTTGGGCCCAGAGTACACTGTTGGTGAACTTGCATCCAAGTTCAGGGTCCATACTGAGGAACAGAGGAGCAAGAACCCCACCAGACAGCGCAAAAGGGGGGCAAGCAGACCCAAGGAATGACCTCCTCTTGCCATCACCAGCATCTCCCTCCTCTTCCCACTCCAAATGCTGAGTGTTTTCCCATTAACGCTGTCTCTTCTGTGCTCATAATAGTGACCACTGACATGACACATTTCCTCAAGCTTTTCCTCCCCTGCTGAAGCCTCTTCAGCTGAAGATGATAACATTTATCAGAAGTCTCTCAGGAATTTCCCAACAGGAACACCCTGGGTGTGCGCAGCGATGACCACTTGGAACAGTGATGTTTGGCAGCAGTAACAGGCAGGATCAACCATTGACAAGACACCTCTGGGGAACCACCACTGCCATTTCCAGGCTAGTGTGCACAAGTATGAGTTGTGGTCTTCCATACACAACTCCCAACCCCATCTGTCCTTGGGACATAGAGATCAGAAACACGTGAGATGAGACGGACCCTCAGGAACTGCTCTGAAAGCTCCTGTTCCTAGTCTGGAATGCTTTGAGAGTAGCTACAGTCACACAGTGGTAAGGGTAAGCATTTTTACTGGATCCTGCAGGGTTCTTAAAGTGCAGTTATGAGTCAGAGCCGCTTTCAAGCACCAGGGCTCAATGCGTTGCAACATATGATTAGAAACGTATGTGGAGCTTTGAGAGATGGGTTCTAGGAAAGCGTTTTCAAAGAGTGGGGGCAATCCAGAAACTTGCAAGAGACCAGTTCAGAATGTACAGCGAACCCTCCCACCACCATTAAACATCTGAAATGATTTAAGTTTACAGGGCATGAAGGCTACAAAGACCCAGCTGCAAAGCCTTTTCCCCACTGGATGCACTAGAGCAGGGGTCAGCAACCTTTTTCAGCTGTGGGCCGGTCCACCATCCCTCAGACCATATGGTGGGCTGGACTATATTTGGGGCGGGGGAATGAACGAATTCCTATGCCCCAAAATAACCCAGCGATGCCTTTTAAATAAAAGCACACATTCTACTCATGTAAAAACACCAGGCAGGCCCCACAAACCCAGAGATGCATTTTAAATAAAAGGACACATTCTACTCATGTAAAAACACCCCGATTCCCGGACTGTCTGTGGGCCAGATTGAGAAGGCAATTGGGCCGCATCCGGCCCATGCGCCTTAGGCACTGGAGCATTCAGGACATCCCATTTTCTATCCCACTCGCATGTAGGAATGTTTTATCAGCCAAGCACAGTCGCCCCCTCCCTGACCGCAGGGGAAACCAGCACAGGCCTTATCAGGTGACATAAGCAAAATAAACCGCATGGTGGTTGTTTAGAAGGAAAAGTGAGGATGGGTGACATGTTGAGTTCACCCATTGAACCAATTTCTTAATTCGCCAGCGAAACTAGGCTCCATTTGTAATGTTCTCCAATGCACACACTTCCTGGTTTTGCTTCCTGCACTGTGCTACCAGCTATGCTGGCACAAAGCTCCTGTTTCTCCTATACCTATACATCAAATTCAGTTAAGGCAATGGAAGTGCTGAACCATTATCTGGGCTCCATAAGGCCAGTGAATTAAGGCTGGATCCAGACAAGGCAGAAGTGCTACGTGTGGTTCTTTTATTCCCAGTGGTGTCCACCTGCTACAGATGGAGTAATCAGATTTGCAGCCCAGGAGCACTCAATGATTCTGCTTGCCGTAGAAGGCTCAGGTGGCTTCCATGGAATGGACTGCCTTCTACTAGCTGGCAGGCAATTTCAAGCCCTTCTAGGAAGACCGCTTTGCTGGTGGAATCTCTCACTTGTCCTTAAGCAGCTGCCACGGCTCCTTACCAGTTTCCAGGCTGAATTCAAAGTGCAGCTGATGCCCTTCATGCTTGGGATTTGAACAAGTTTGGAAAGTGCTTGGAAAACTGCCTGATTCTTGTCTCTGCTTCTCTGCCCTGAGCTCAGCTTCACAGGCTCTTCTCAAACTGCTACTCCAGTGAAGCAGCAGGCGGCACTCAAGGAAGAGGGCCTTCTTCGTGGTGGCACTCCCATCTGTGGAACACTCCCCAGGAAAGCTTGCCTGATGCCTGCTACATAATGTCCTTCTGATGGCATGCAAAAGGCCTCATTTTCCTAAGTTTAAAAAGAATAAATCCTGAAATATAAATTGAGGCATAGTGCATTATTTTGTATTTTATTAAGTATTTTTGATATATGTATTTTTAATTCTTATATTGAAGGGCAAGTGTGTAAGTGTATTTAATAAAACATTTGAGCTGGTGAGCAAGTGGGACCATGCGGACAGGAAGATCTTGCCCCATTGCTGGGATACGATTCATCTTGAATACCAATGTGCAAATCAGGATTATGTTCTCTGTGGCTTAACTCTTTTCCTGCTTCCGAGACTACCTCGGCTAACACACACAGGGCCACCCCAATGTTACTGAATGTGATGATCATTATCCAGCAAGCGTTCAGTGAGGATCAGGAGACGAGGTTTCCAGAATCTCAGAAATGTGGGTTTGGGCTGCATCAATTCAATGAGCTAATTGCTCGCTTGAACATGGTCCAATCTTGGGAGTGGCAAATTGAGGGAAGATGGATCATAGCAACAAGGGAATCTTAAAAGGGCTGAAGACAGATAGGGATGTTTTCCCCCCAGCAAAAGAAACATGATAAAGTGGTACCTTAGTTTACAAACTTAATCCGTTCCGGAAGTCCGTTCTTAAACCAAAGTGTTCTTAAACCAAGGCGTGCTTTCCCATAGCAGCGGGAGACTCAGTTTACAAATGGAACACACTCAACAGGAAGCGGAACATGTTCTGTTTCCAAGGCAAAATTCACAAACCAAACTTCCAGGTTTGCAGCATTCTTAATCCAAGTTGTTCATAAACTAAGCTGTTCTTAAACCAACGTACCACTGTACATGGCATGAAGCTAGGAGGACCAAAGAGAATAAAGGGGATGGGAAGATCAGTCGGTGCTCTGTGCAAACAGCCAATAAATGCGGTGCCATAAATAGGGGTGACGGCAGTGGGAAGAGTCACAACATGAGGACTAACACCTTGACTCTGACCCTTTGGGAAACAAGTACACACACGCTTTCCCCCAAATTACTAGTTTATTAGAAAGTTTATTTTCCTCATTTTTACAGCATGTATATATATTTATATATATACTTTTTATGTGACAAAAGTTAAATATAGCCTGCCGATACTGAAGTAATAGTGCGTTCTCTTTTGTGGTAAGCACTCTTGTGGAAGTCCAGTCTCCTCCTCCCTGCTGGGGCGCCGTGTCTCCCGTCTGGACCTCAGGGGAATGAAGCACTGAGAAATTAATACTGTTACTTCTTGAATTATCTACAGCCACTACCAAGAACCGAGTCCCTTTGTCACAGCAGCAGTTTCCAGTGCTTGTCTCGTTGTAGCCAAGGGTAAGGAAGCTTGAAAGCAGTCCATAGTCTTGCCATTTCAGGGCAGCAGCCAGCAGTGGTTATTTCTGAATTTCTGAAAATGGAGGCCGCATCTCAGGATATACAAGCAAGTAGCGTGCCCTTTGGGTCTGGACACGTGTCCCAAAACAGCCGCTGCTTTGCAGGATCTCGGCCTCCTTTTGCACTCAGCAAAAGAACCTTGAGATTCGGGGAGCCCCCGCTTCCTAGTTCACTTTGGGGCCGCACCCTGGGGAGCTGCAACTGGGTGACAAGGGGCAGTTGTGAGGAAAGGGCATCCCATAGAAGAAAACCCCAAGGGGGGGGAAGGAAAGGGATTCGGAACGAAAACACACCACTCAAAGCCTCTCCAAAACATAAAAAAGGCACATATTTGAAAACAAGGAGTCTTAACACACACACACACCCATCCACACCTAGAAGCTATGTTGTTGCTGCAATGACTCAAAACAAGTGGTTGAATCCCAGGGAAAATAGCTGGGCTCTCAGGTGTTGTTGTTTTTTGGTGGGTCCCATCTATTCCTGCGACCAGAAAGCGACTGTTTGCTTTGCCAAACGAACGGACTGTTTCTCTCAAACTTAAGGGGCCTGGCTACCGACTGAAGCACACAGTGAATGACACCTCAGCTGCCTCACAAACCTGCCTTTTCACAGAAATTACTAGAGATGTCATTACACAGGATGGACTTTGTTAGCTAAGGGACAAAGGAGTCCAGATCACTGCTCCTTTGTTTATTTCCGAACCCTGTGACATTTTCTCCTATAAAATGAAAGTCTTTTTTTATGGTACGTTTAAAAAAAATGAGCTCAATTAAAATATACATGCTTGAAATCATTTTGTGCCCTAGCCATAACTAGAAGCATTGAACCTTTGACAAGAATTTCCTTTCCAACTACGTTAAAATGTATAGATAACTAAAGCCACCTGAACGAGTACCACTCAAAGAACGGGCTGTAAAAAATGTTATTGCGGTATACTATCAATATGGAACATTTGTCAGAGGAGCTACAAAAAGCAGCATTGACATGTACAGAGTTCAGTGCAATTTCTTAAATTCTTTTTTTTTCTTCTTCTGAAAAAAAAATCATAAGTTAATAAGGAACCATCAATATTACAGAGGAAAAGAGTACAAGTTACAGAGTCATGTTCAGGATGTTCACAGGACTCCAGTACAACATATTGCTTCAAGGACTGATCAAGGAATTGCTCTCTGCTCTCTCAGCAGCGCCGTAAAGGGTGTGTAGGAAGGAGAGCACTGCCAAGCTGGTCTGGGGGGTGGAAACTGGTCACTGAAAAGCAACTTCCCAGTTTGTGGTGCTCAGTGGGGACTGCTGAACATGGTTCCCCGAATAGGAGCTGGAGAGAGGGGAGAGGGCAACAGAGGAGATGATGGATCAAGTGCTGAGTATTTCTTGGTTCTGTTGCTCGGGTTAAGCTTTAAGGTGGATTCAAATCACTAACTTTCACGCTTTATACTTGATATCGTTGCCCAAATAAGATAGATGTGTATACCCACTTTAGGTCTTCAGAGTGGGTAGTAAATGATTTATACTACGTGACTTGGAAATTAAAAAGGGCTGCATTTGCTAAAGGACTGCACATCCCTGAAGAAGCCACCTCCCTGGGCGCACGAGCCCTTGAACATCCTTACAAGCAAAGCACCAGCAGCACAGCTCTCCCATCTTCCACAGGCCTGTTCCCTCGAGCCTCCCTGCCTCTGCCCAATCCTCCCCCTTCCTGGGCTGTTCTCAGGTCCAGAGACAGCCACCGCCTTCCCGAGAACGAGAGAGACTGATGCACACGCACAGAGACAGACAGACATGCCCCTGTCCTCTCTTTCCCCTAACCCTCCCCTCCCCGATAGAGGCTGCCTCTCTCGTTCTTTCATGTGCCGTGGCTGGGAGGGTGCTGCAAATCCTGTCCTGAGAAAATGGGGTGCAGGAGAGGGTGGAGGTGCAACGCCGTGGCTGCCGCTGTCGCTGGCCGGGGCGCCAGGAGGGTCGGGTAGAGGGCGGCGTGGTGGACGGGGTGGAAAGTGAAAGGACCCGGGTGGATGGCAGAAGCGGGGATGATATGGATGGGGTGGCTGGCCAGGAAGGTGGCGGGGTGCCCTGGGATGATGGAGTGGGTCAAGTGGGACAAGGAGATGGGGGTCAAGTGGGGCTGAGGGATATGGTGCACTTGAGCAAGAGGCTGGGGGTGAGGGTGGGGGTGGATGCCAATGGCTGCGGCCGCGGCGGCAGCGTGGTGCTGCAGAATGGCGTGCTGCACGGTGGTGATGGAGGTGGCTGCGGCTGCGGCTGGCTGCTGGATGTGGATGGGCTGCAAGGCAGGAGCCGTGGCTGGAGCCAGGGCGGCCGAGGCTGGGAATGCCTTGACCTGCTTGGCCAGGAGCTGCTGCTGGATGTGCTGCTGGGCGGCCTGCTGGAGCTTGCTGTACTTCTCCATCTCCTCCGGGGTGAAGGTGATGGGCTGGCTTTCCAGTGGCGCCAGGGAAGAGTCTTCGCTGCCTTCCGGCTCCCCGCTGATGCTCGGCTCCGCGCTGTGTGGGACGTAGCTAGGGAAGGGCTCCACTTCAGGGGCCAGCGGCACCATCCTGCCTTCGAGGGAGACGGGCTGGGCGCTGCCGTCCAGAGGCTCGGCGGCTTCGCTTTCCGCGGGGGCAGGGAATGGGTGCGGCACGGGCAGGTCGCCGGGTCCAAAGTGTTCCGGGAGGGCTGGCGGCTCCAGGGGCATGGGAGCCATCTCCACGCCTGCTTCTTCTGGCTTCTGATCTCCCAGAAGGCTCTCCTGGGTCTCCGTCACCAGGGTTTCGTCCACTGTGGGTTGGCTTGCTGCAGCTGCCTCCCCGCCATCATGGGGGGTTTCGTCGAGCTCAGACAGCTCCAGCTCCTCCCCGGTCCCCAATCCTAACCCAGACTCCTCACACTGCTTGGCGTTTGGCTTCCGGACTGTGGGCAGCTTCCCGATCAAGGGAAGGACTGGCTTGTTGCCTAGGGAGGGAGGGAGCTTAGGGCCAAAGTAGCCTTGCGGGGGATCTTTCAGCTTGATCCCAACCTTGTGAGGCCCTGAGGGGGAGTCCTCGCTGCCGCTGGGCTTCTTCTCCACCTTCCTGGACTGAACTTTTTCCAGGAGGAGCTTAGCCGTGGCCGAGTTCTTCTCCTCGGAGCTGCAGTTGCTCCCCAAGCTGGAGTTGCCGCTGTTTTGGGAGAGGCTGGCGGTGGTCCCTGTCGCTTCATCGCCTCTCGCTTCCTCCTTCCTTGCGGGCCCTTCCCCTGGTCTGCCTCTGAAGTAGTGGGGGGACTGGGAGCGGTAGATCTTTGAGCGGATAAAGTCTCGCCGTGCGGATCTCCTCTCCCCAGGGCTTTCGTGGCCACGGGACCCCTTCCTGGAGAGAGACCGCTGGGAGAGGCTCCTGGCACTCCGGCTGCGCTCCCGGCTGTAGCTCCTGCTCCGTTTCCAGCTGTGCCCAGTCCGGCTGCGGCTCCGCCGCTTGCCCCGGCTGTGGCTACAGCTGCTGCTGCGCGTCCTGCCCCGGCTTCTCGTCCTCGACCTCCCCCTGGTGTGGGTTCGGCTGCGGCTCCGGGATCTGCTCCTGCTCAGGCTGTAGTCGTCTTCCGAAGAGGAGTATTTGTGCCGTTTCGACCTGCGCTTGGAACTGGCATAGTCAGAATCGTCCTCAGAGTCGTGGGAGCGCTTGGTGCGGCTCCGAGAGCGGTCGCTGTAGTCACTGTAGCTGTCTTCCGAGTAGCTGCGCCGCCGGCTGTACCGGCTGTTGTCAGAGGAGGCATATGAACTCGTTGAGTAGGACCTCTGGGATGACCTTCGGGAGGAATGCCGACGCCCTGACCGGGAGCGGCTTCGGGAACAGTTGCTGCCAGAGTCGTAATCGTCGCTGTATTGCGAAGCAGACTTCTGCCGGAAGTGCTTGTGGCAGGAGTCCTCGTCGCTCTCGTAGCCACCGCTGCTCTGCCGGCCTCTGTGGCTGGAGTGGGCGGAGGTGGAGGCCCGCCTCTTGGCGGTGGATGACGCCTGCTGCGGGTCCCCTTTGGTTTTTTTGCCACCGTGATCTTGGGAAGAGGTGCCACCGTCCTCTTTCTTGTTGCCGCTTTCTTCGGTGGAAAGAGACTTCCGCTGAGAGTCTTGAGCGCACCACTTTCTTTTCTTGAGGTGGCCAGTTTCGTCGGCCCCTTGCGTCCGCTCCAGCTCCGTGGCAAAGGACGGCTTGCTCTTTTTGTGTTTGTGTTTCTTCCGCTTCTTGGATTTCTCTTCTGCCAGGTCCCCATCCCTGCTTTTGTCTTCTGTCTCGCCTTTGCGCCTGCGTTTGTGTTTCGTGGACTTCTTGTGCTTCTTCTTCTTCTTGTGCTTGTGGGATTTCCCCACTTTGTCCTTGCGGCCAACAAGGCCGCCTTTGCTGCTGTCTTCTGGCCCCTCGCCCTTGCCAGCTGACACAGGATTGGACTCCTGCTTGCTGCAGACAGACAGGGACTTGCTCTCCGGCACTGCTGTGGAGGTGCCCGCAGGAGTGCCCACCTCTTTGCTCTTGCTCAGGCTGCCCTCTTCAGCAGATGGTGCTTTCTCCTTGGGAAGGCTGCTTGCAGCTTTCTGTTTCTCCGCCCCTTTCGCTTTAATGTCTTTGTTGCGAGACAGCTTAAAGTCAAAATACAAGGGATTGCAGCTGTACGACACAGAGGGCTCTGCTTTGGTGAAGATCAGCAGTTCTGAAGGCCACTGGAGGGTGGTGCTCTCGTCTTTACTGAGCACTGGGAAGAAAGGTCCTGTCAAATGCTTAGGCCCGTCTGTGCCTTCTTTACTGGTTGACGCAAGCTGAGGAAGCTCTTTGGCGACCTCGGACTCCGTAGAACTGCTTCCCTTAAGTGGCTTGCCTTCCTGCCCGCTTGTCTCTTCTGGAGGGTCTTTAACTTCAGTTTTGCTGCCTTTGCTGGAAGGACTCGGTTCCTTCTGGTGGGTGGCACACTCTACTGCTGTCACCTTCTCACCATTCTTTGCCGCTTTGGGTTTTGGGGAGTTGCTCCGCTTCCTTTCGCGAGCCATTTTCTTGCTCATGGCCTCTGCTTCGACTTGTTCTGTGGCCTTCATAAACAGCAGGAACTGGAAGTTCGGCTTCACCTTGCAGTGAGCAGGCGGGATGTAGTGGTAATACTCTGGCTCTAGTGCCATGGGGCCGTCGTCTCGCTTCATCTTTTTCAGCTTCGACAGGGTGGTGTTTAGACCCTCCTTCTCGTGCGCTTGCTCCTCTTCGTCGCCTTTGCTGTCAGGGCTGTTTGTCCCCTCGACCTCCCCAAATTTCCCCAAGGCTCCAGGATCGGGCTGGGCTTTCTCATCCGCTTTGACTTCGTCATCGGGAGAACTGGACTCATCAACATGGTCTTTGAAGACGGAGGCAATTGACTCTAGTTTCACTGGGGCTTTTTTGGCAAATGAGAAAGACACGCCTATCTTAAGAGGGTTAACCCCTGAGCTGATGGCTTGCGGTACCTGGACAGGCACCTGCCCAAGCCCGATGTTGCTACTAGTTTGCCCAGTGGCACAAACAAGACCCTTGTCTGTGGTCATACTGGCAACTGGCCCAGGAGCTGGTGAAAAAGAGCAACTGCTGGGAGCTGCTGAATCGATGTCCTCCTCTCCTCCTTCCTCGTCTACTGCCACAGTAGTGGTTCTAAACATCGGCCCGCTTCCTGGAGCACTGGGGGATTGAAATGGGACAGGGGTAAAGGGGAGGGAGAAACAATAGTTAGATACTGCTTAACATTAACATCTTCACCTTTATCTCTTACCCATGCCTATTCAACCTCTCATTAATTTCCTGGAATTGCTTTGAAAGCTAACGGTATGTCCAGGAACAAAGTTTTAATCTACACTTCCACTGTATTGTATGTGGCATAATTCATGTGCTCCAACCAGCACATCCTTGACAGAATTCAAGTATTTGTTATTTTTTTTAAAAAAAGGTGTCTTAAGATTCAAGCCTTCCTGGTTATATAGAAGAATCAAGATAAGCATTGCAAGGTTCTGATGCGCACAAGTAAGGGCTGCCTCATCCATTTCAGGCCTGAAGCTTTTCCCAACTCAGATCATGTTCACTAGAGCAGTTAGTTCAATTAAATCTGTCTCCCTCCACTCACATGACACATACACTGCCCTTCCAAAATCTGTTCCTGGTGAAGAGGGGGAATGAGGAATTGAACTTGCGGACTGGCCACTGGTGAGCTAAGCATTCCTCATGGGGGGGGGGGAGAGAATAAATTATGTTTTACAAAAATCTGAAGAACAACTTCTTGCTATCCAGTCCATTTAAAACAGCCTGAATAAAAGGGGAAGTCAACTGTATGTTTAACTTAACTAACTTGCTGGCACAAGGAGCCCATTCACTTACCATTCAGGTTGCTTCCTCTGCTCAGCCAACTCGTGGAGACGACGGAGGGCTTTCTCCTGCTTCCTCTCATCTTTCCGGGATCTCGAGGAAACATTGCGAGCAAACTCCCTTTGCTTGAGATCCTTCAACCTCTGTAGCAAAGCAAGAGAAAAGGAAAATAGAAGGGGATAAGATGGAACGGTGAACCTTTTCAAGTTTTGCTAAAGAGTTTCCCAGCTGGCCATCCTTAACCCATTCTGCGTCATTTGACCAGGGGTGGGTAGCCAGCAGCTCTCCTAATCTTGTTGGAATTCAACTCACAGCAGCCCCAGCCAGCTTGGCCACCGGGGATGATGGGAGCTGTAATCCAGCAGCATCTGGAGAGCCATAGGTTTCCCACCTGTGCACTAGACAATTTAGAGGCGCTCCCTGAACTCACTGATATAGAGTACATCCTTTCCATGTAGAAGGTCCCAGATGCAGTCCCTGGCATCTCCGGATAAGAGGGCTTGGAAAGATCTCTGCCCAAGACCCTGAACACTCTACGTAGACAATACTGAGCTAGATAGTTCAATGGCCTGACTTAATAGCAGACCATATAGTCACAGGGTGGGCTCACTAAAAGTCTCCACAGAGTAGCCATTTTAGAGTGTAAGCAAGAAGCATTGAAGCACTTCCGAGAGAGGATAAAGAGAGGAAGAAGATACTATATTTAGGTATACAAGAGCGGTAGGGAGGAACAGTTCTATCTCCCTATACAATCCAGGATGCTTAGAATTGCAGGTTCCTTTTCAGAGGAAAACTGGCGGGAAAGGCTTAAGAGCTAAATTTGTTAACCAACCTGGCTGCGAAATCCCAGTGACTGAACAAAGACTGGGAGTGGGGTGCTCTTGCTACAGCAAGCATTGAAACCCATCTGATTGTGTCTGGTGACACAGCAATTGTTTAAATATTGCAATTGTTTTTAGGCTTAGCATATCTCAAATTGTGCTCTTTGCAGCCACAGCTACCCGCCCCCTCCCACACGCATCCATCCATAGCAGAAAGCAGGAAGAAATTAACACAAAGTTTTGCCCCAGCAACTAAATGCATCAGGTGAAGAACACGCCCTTAGAAAGAATCGGCTTATATGGACTTGTCCCCGGCCACAATATGGAAGCTGCGGCTTTGGCACCGAACTCTCGAGTTTTTGCCCCTAGCCCAGAGCAGACTCAAGTCTAGCATTACTCCGCTGAAAATGGACACCACTTTGAATGAGATGAGATGATGCAGGGAGGGGAGGTGATGGGTTCTCCAAAACTAGTAAGACATCATTGAATGGGGTTATGGTTTCACTGAACTGAGAGTGGAAGAAGAGGAGCGGAATGCATAGCTACGTTCTCAGACATGCACACAGAAAGACAGAGCTACAGACACTAGTAGGAAAAAAAACTCACTCTTATGATCTGGCCTCCATAATATGCTTTCATTATATCAGTTGACAATATCATATCATGAGTGGGGGGGAGGGAAGGTAAAAAAAAATACATGAGAGCAGAAGAGAGAGAGAAAGAAAAAAAGGGCAACCATTACTAACATCAATGCTCAGAATATCTGCAAGCTTATTCTATTGGATATGGAACTGGTTCACAGCTAAGAAGGCACAGAGGAACAGGACTCTCATCAAGTAGGATAATACTAATAACTTTGCCAGGACATATAAACTGGGGTGGGTCACTACATAGTCAAACACTGGTTCTACGAGGCTGCCTTGAGCGGAGAAGAGGAGAGAAAACACAAAACAAGTAAGTATCCCTGGAATGTGAAAGGAGCAGCATTTATAGCTGGGACGTGGAATCTGGGGCACTCCAGATGTTGCTATTAACGGTATTTATGTTGGAACACAATTCCTATAGTTGCTGGCCATGCTGGCTGGGGCTGATGGAGCTTGGTAGTCCAACAACATATGACAGGCCATAGGTTCCCCATCCCTGATTTACAGGAAAGGTGAAGCTGGAGGAGAAAACTTGAGAGAACCAAATGGCTTTCAAGTACATCTATGAAAGTCTGAAATTTCATAAACCGGATCCCTCCATAAAGAACCATTTCCAAGGTCCTTTGGAAGCATCCGTGGAACCAGTTTCATTTTGGAATGAATCCTGGTCTCCTTCAACCCCTTGCATGAACCACTCTTGTAATCTTCAGTTGAAAATGTTCAACATAAGGGTGGTATATAAATAGCATATGCAAAAACCTGAGTATGCAAAAGACCTCTAGATTTACCTTCCCCTGTTGCAGCCACAAGACCCACAGATGGGTCAAATCCTGTTCATGCCCATCTTAAGAATACACACAGCTGGAAAAACCAAGTCTTCACAAGAATGAACAAAAGCACCAGCAGCGTGGGAAGACAGCACCAAAATTCACAGATTCCCCCAGCAGCGGGAAGGCTCTTGCAGCAAGCCCCATGTGCATGATAGAGCTCTGCTATTAAAGAAAATTATAGCCCACTTTAATGATGGGCCGTAAGGATGCCTCTTGCTTAGCACTTTGACAAGTGTGGAGAACAAAGAGTGCGACAAGTTGGGCTCATCTGTAGCGGTTTGGCATGAGCTGCGATATGATTATAGTGCTGCATTTATTAGGCTGGATGACAGGAAATGCGGGCTTTTTGTTTGTTTTGTTTTTGCAGAGACTTGCTTTGTGTTTCGAATTTGCACCGTAAGTACCGTAAGAGACAAATTTACATCCCTTGGCATAGTGCACTTTTAATACATGCAAAAGGACAATAGAATTAGCAGAGGCATGCACATTCTCAGGGAACGCCTTGCAATTTGCACCGAAGTAACTGCACCAAGAAAGCCGATTTTAGAAACCTGCATTTATTATGTCCTGCTAGTCAGTGAAAAGGGCAGGTACTCAGCCATGGAGGTTCTGCCACCTGATCCCCTGAATTCTGGCTCAGACACTATTGCTTCTGCTGCCAGGGCACCCTGCAGCAGAAACATCTATATGCTTAAAATTTTACATATGCACTCCACCTTAATCTGGAATTATGCATTTTGCTTGCGTTCATTAACACAGGTAAAGAATTGCCGCCAGCCATTAAATGTGAGGGAAGTCACCCATGGCGGTTAAAAGCTGTTGCCGTTTACAATAATCCACAAATAGAACAGCCATGTGGGCTCTAGCCTGCCCGGTTAGAGGGAAAGGAGGCATGCACATCCACTAATCTGACATGTTTCTTTGGTCTTCACCACTAGTTTTATTTCCCTTGACGCCTTCCCTAATCAGCCCTTTAACTTTCGGAAGTGATGAACTGTCCCAGACAAGTCCCTGTTATGTGTAGCGCAATAAGGCAGGTAAGGTGCAGGATGAATAACGAGGCATCTGAAACCAACATATTTAGCTCGTGCCATAATTAAAGGCAGCAGTTTAAAACAAATATATATATATATAAAATATCCGCTCAGGTGGAAAAACTTGTTTCAAAACAGTATGAATAGTTAATAAGAAAGGATGAGTTAGCCTGTGATGTTTCCCTATTTGAAATACAGAAGCTTCCTGCTCCCTCAAGTTCTAGACCCCAAAGGAGCTTTTTTCATCCTGGCCTCCCCCCCCACCCCCTGCAATATCAGCTCTGAATACTATCATGCTCTAACTTCCAGCTCTTTGTTTTATTTGCAAACGTAAAACAAATTGCGGGGCGCGGGTGACGCTGTGGGTTAAACCACAGAGCCTAGGACTTGCCGATCAGAAGGTCGGCGGTTCGAATCCCCGCGATGGGATGAGCTCTTGTTGCTAGGTCCTTGCTCCTGCCAACTTAGCAGTTTGAAAGCACGTCAAAGTGCAAGTAGATAAATAGGTACTACTCCGGCGGGAAGGTAAACGGGTTTTCCGTGCGCTGCTCTGGTTCGCCAGAAGCGGCTTAGTCATGCTGGCCACATGACCCGGAAGCTGTACGCCGGCTCCCTCGGCCAATAAAGCGAGATGAGCGCTGCAACCCCAGAGTCGGCCGCGACTGGACCTAATGGTCAGGGTCCCTTTACCTTTGAAACAAATTGCAGAAAGCAAAACCAACAATAGGCATGCAATATAAGTACACTTGGAGGCAGGTTGAGTAAGGCATTCAGGTCTTTTTGCTTCAGCTGAATATAAATTGCACTGGCACATCGACAGAGAGAGCTTGTGTTCCCCTTTGCTCTGGCAAGTTCCCTCCACCATCCCAGCGAAGCATGCAAAGGTAGGGATGTGCATCTTCCCTCCCCTTCGCAAAATGTACTGTTCAGGAGGCCTCTAAAATGCTTTAGCAGCAAATGCACAGGAATAGCTGAGTCCCAGTAGAGGGAGTAGAGGACTGCAGGGAAATTTGCCTGCCAATTCAGTCTGCACCTAAGGGCTTTTCTGAGACTTGCCAGATAAGCAAAACAAGCAGACCTAGGGCAAGAGGATTCCTTTCAAGCAGGCCTAATGGCCTGTTTAGCTTGTTAAATTGTTTGTTCGAGGATCAGATCAGAAAATGGAGCTATCATCATCCCCTGCTCCAGGGAATCTCAGAAGCTGGGAATAACAAATTACAAAAATCTTACTCGGCTCTCAATTTTTAGAAAGCTCACTCAATTCCCACAGAAGCCGACCTTCTAGAAGGAAGGGGCAGAGAAAGTAGAAATATGTGTGAGGCATTATTATCCCCACCAATCCACCACTAAGCTTTCTCTTTCTTAGCATTTTGATGGAATTTAAAAATGGAGTTTTCAGCATCCACTTTATAAGTGATTTGTAATGTTTTCTACTATCTTCTTTTTAATGCTTTTGTGTTTCACTCTTTAGTCTTGTTATTTATTGCTATATTCATGGTTTTCTTTTACAGTGGACGCTCGGGTTGCGAATGTGATCCGTGCGGGATGCACGTCCGCAACCCACAACGTCCGCAACCCACAGCAGCGCACCTGCGCGGGTTGCGATCCGGTGCATCTGCGCATACACAAAGCACAATTTAGCGTTTATGCGCATGCGCGACCGCTGAAACCCAGAAGTAACCCGTTCCGGTACTTCCGGGTTTCGGCAGTCCGCAACCCAAAAAAACGCAACCTGAAGCGTCTGTAAACCGAGGTATGACTGTATAAGCTACCTGGGGGGCGGAAATTAAGTGTGGTAATTACTGTATAAACAA